AATCTGACACATCACCAAACATCATTCCAAAACCTAACCAGACTAGAAGGAATGGAGCAAAAAACCCATAGAGAAGAGAAGAATCCAAAACAGGATTGTCTTTTGACTTGAACATCACCTTCCAGTACTGGTTTGGATCTTTTGTGCTTTTGTTGGAGAAAAGAATTTGCTATTTTCATAACAAAAATCCTGTTTTTTCCTATTTTTGCAGGGTTGCCAGATGACACCATCAAAATGGCCAAAGATATTAAGCCTGTTGTTGAAATACAACAAAAAGGCAACGACTTTGTTGTGACATCCAAAACACCCAACAAATCTGTAACCAACTCGTTTACAATCGGCAAAGAGGCTGACATCACCACCATGGATGGCAGGAAGCTAAAGGTAAAGCATTCCAAGAATAGGACATCTTTATTTATCCCTAAACCTCAGTTTGTGTGTGAGTGGAATTTGTTTGTACCATTTCCATTTGCAAATATTTCTATCACTTTAACAAACAGAAATGTTCCTAAAGTCCTATTCAAACGCTGTGCTCTCCAGTTTAAATTAACAGCTGTCATTATGAAATATCAGTGTAATTTATTTCCTATTTATTAGTCCTCTGCTTACTGGAATTGAATTCCAAAATCTAATTTTTTTAAAGCGTTTTTTAAATGTTCCAACAGTGCACTGTGAACTTGGTCAACGGGAAGCTGGTGTGCAAATCAGATAAATTCTCTCATGAGCAGGAAGTTAAAGGAAATGAAATGGTGGAGGTAAGTGCAAATAAGTGAAAATAAAGGCACTGGCAGAAAAATGATGAAGGCAAAAATGTTGAATAGCTCATAGTGTCTACAAAGTGTCCCTGTGGACAAAGACTGCTCCAAGGAGCACAACCAACTCCAACTTTTCCTTCATGTAAATGTTGTACATGTATTTACAGGCAGGTGCTGTGATTGTATTTTCTTGTCGACTAGGATGGATTTATGCACGAATTACAGACACTTCTGCCACTTAGCTCTAAAAATGTGTATTTGTCTCCCACAGACTATAACATATGGTGGAGTAACGCTTGTCAGAAGAGGCAAGAAAGTCTGAAGACAGATCCCCTCCTCTGTGACACCTTTACATACCTGAAATAAAGTGCACTTTCCACAAGGTGTGATCTCTGTTTTATCTGAGCAACAGTACAGGAAATCGTGATGATTTCTGCTCTCCTTTCTCACAGCACCTCCCCTTGTTACAGGACTGTGTTTTCCCCCCTGTCCTCAGAGTGACAGAAATTTGCCTCCCAGACAACCCAACCTGGACATAAATCACACTGCTCCAGCTCACCACAATAATCCTTGGGAGCAGCCAAAAGCTACAGAAATGCTCCTTGATTTCTTACCCGCAGACTGAACACACTCAGCTTTAGTTTTGCTGAAGGTTAGTCTTTAACCAAAGCCCGTTCTCTATGACCTGGCCAACAGAGAACAATCAGGCATTTGTTGAGCTGATCTGAACCACATGGCCCAGCAACAGAAACAGCAATATTTTAAAAGCTGTGAAGCACTCACCAGTCATTAACAAGAGGGATGGCTGTTCTTAAACTGAATTACACAGAAGGACAATTAAGAGGCACTACAAGAGCAAAGAGAATTAAACATTCTTCCAATTTGCAATGAACTTTAAGTGTCTTGTCATGGCCCAAGTTTGTGAAGCTCAGGTAAACCAGACTTTGTTCAGACCCTGTGCCTCTATTAAGTATAAAACACACAGGATTAAGTATAAAACACACAGGTTCTGTGCCTAGAACCATTCCTCTGCTGGTTAGATCCTATTACTGTACCAGCAGCCTGAAATTTCACAATTTCAGTCATTGCAGATTTGTTAGAATTGGTTTTAGGTGCAAGCCCTCCATGAACGAAGCTGCTGGAGTGATAATGCCATTTAAAATCCTCATGGGGAGGTTTTACCCCAGTGAAGATGCTGAGTTTCCATCTCCCCATGCTAGAAGAGCAGTTTGTGAGGGGAGAGGTTGTGTTTTATTAACAACACAATGTGATACAAGCAATTTGGGAAGTGTGTTCTCACTCTGGGATAAGGCTGTTCTCAGGGGGAGTTTCACTGGCATAAAGGATCATTGTGCTCATTCTGCTTCCCAGGCAGCTCCAATGCCAAGCACAGTCCTGCAGCCAGAATGAAATTCCATGTGAGTTACACAGAAATAAGATCAGCAGCATAAAATCGGGGCTGGCAAAACTCAGGGAGGAGGAGGAGGAGGGTGATTAAAGCACTGGTGCTGCAAACACACCCTGAAACCAAACACACGCTGCGGTTTTCCAGCAGGAAATTCACAGAGTGCTGCAGGTCTGCAAGGATCAAAGGCTGTGCCTGGTGCTGCAAAAAGCCACCCAAGAACTCAGCACCCTTCTGTCTGGGAGTTGCTGGGTAACTGCTGCAAACACACCCTGAAACCAAACACACGCTGCGGTTTTCCAGCAGGAAATTCACAGAGTGCTGCAGGTCTGCAAGGATCAAAGGCTGTGCCTGCAAACTGGAGGATGGAACATGCAAGACACTTCAGGTTTATTTCCAAACCAAGGCAGAGATCCTTCATGACTCATTTCAAACCCGTTACAAAATGATTGCTGGAGGTACTAACACCAAAAGCACACTAACCTTATTTAGAACTTCAAGAACTCATGCTCAGTCATTCTAATGGATAAAATTCTAAAAAATTAAAAGAACCCTTCACCTGGCTTTCTTCACAACTGCAATGATTTCATTTTCCAGCAATGGTGCCAATCTTTCCCATCCTTCTGGCAATGTCCTTCTGCCACAAGACACCCCAGATTTGGGGGAATATTCAGTGCAGGTGCTCATGTGAAGCAGTCAAACCTGAAGGATTTTGATCAATCTGAGATCTGTGTCCCATGGCCCAAAGAAATTAGCATTCCTAGATGGCATAACAGGCTGGGATGGCAGCTCTGGATTCATTATTCCACAAAATCAAGTGCATTTTTCTGTGAATGACTCCACTGGAGTATTTATAATCAAACTTGGATCTTGTTCAAACTTTTGATTCCCAATCTGACAAGCTCTGACAAGGTAATCCTGGCAGCATGGATTTCTATCCACCAAAGTCCACTCTTTGGTAAATTCATTGTTTTCAGAATGTCTATAAAATATTTTTTTCTTTTTTGCTCTGTGCCAAACACTCCCACCACAACTCCAGTCTCTGATGTGTGTTCTTGGCTTGATTTTTGGTTCTTTTAATGATTTGTGTGAGCAGATCTGTTTATATTGCACAAGGTAACAACTCGACCTGCTGCTTGCATACAGAAAAATGTTAACTGTAAATATTTAATGCAAAAAACATGGTCAGAGATCCCCATCCCTTCTCTGTTGAGTCCTGCACACAGACCCTGAACATACAACCACATAAATTCCTTTTTTTTTTGGAAGTGTAAATGTCTGCACGTCTTCTGTGTTAGTAACTGAACTTCATCTGCCATTCAAACTTGAATCATCTGTCATTCAAAACCTGTAAAAATCAGGCACTTCTTAGTGAGAGATTGCCAAGATACGAACAGCAATGTCCTCCCACCAGTTTTCATTCATGAATATTAAAAATAAAGATGAAAATACACTGGTGGCAGACACCAGGGCTGCATCAGCTCCAAGTCTTTCTGTCCCTGCAGGAGTTTGCTGAAAATCCCTCACATGAAAATGCAGATACTTTTCAGTGAGCTCTTCACCAAACCCTGTGACTGCGGGGTCAGATGTGCCTTTTATTCACCTTTATGTGAGTCACACATGAGCGTGCTAAGAAATAATCTCTCCAGCCACCAACTGTATTGTTTTCATCACACAAACAGCTTGAATGGAAAGGGCTGGTCCTGTGCAAACAGCCTGGTGAAAACTCCTGGGGCTCAGCAGGGCTGTGTGTAACGGTGTTCACCACAAAAACTGCATTAATTACTCCATGTGCAACACTAGTTACACACTCCAGAGAGACACTGGTCATTTATTTCAGTGTTGCCCAGTTGGAATCCCTGTGGGATTCCACAAATCGAGCACACCAACGATCAAAATTTATTACTATTTACACATTTTAGCAAACAAAGGAATTAGTGTGCCTTGGCTACAAGTCGTGTAGTCCTGAATTAGTATTCCATCTTCTGTTGGTTAATTATTCTGTTGTTTCTCATGCTAATTAGTCCTGTTCTCTCCTTTTGGGTCAGTGGTCTGTGGGTTGGTGGTCATGACCTGCCCCTGCAGATGTAAAACGGGAAATTACATTTTACCCAGTTGGAGATCACTTCAGCACAGTTGCTAAGTTTGGTTTATTAGTTTCTTCCTTATCTTGCCAGATGGCCCATAAATTCTGCATTCTTTGTGCCGTCTATCAGCGGGCATCCTTTTTTCTCAAGCTTTGTTAACCTCCCCCTAGGTCTGAGATCATCGAAGCATGTCCAGCCTTAAACCTCAACAAGGCAGTTCTACCAATCTGTTATTCTAACACACTTAGAGCTCATTGGCTGCCGTTTCACGGGTTACATCTCCTTTCTTGTTGATCAGGCTTGAAAGCCTAAAAACGTCAAACATCTTTTCTTAACACAACTTATACACCCTCCACATTTTGCAACAGCAAGGCCACAGCACAGCGATCCCTTGAGCCTCAGGACGGGCGTTACAGCCCGAGGCCGTGTCAGTTGGCTGCACAGGAGGGAGCCACGGCGCTCTGAGGCGGCCGCACAAGGCCGGGCCGCGCTCTCCCCTCACGGCGGGGGCGCAGCCGCCATCTTGCCCCGCGCGCGCTCCCCCTCCCCTCTCTTTCGGCGGGAAAAGCGAAGCCCCGAGAGCGGGAAGAGGGGGGGAGAGCACCGCGCATGCGCCGCGCGCGCCGGAGGGCCCGCGAGCTCCCGCGCGGCGCCGGGGCGCATGCGCGCTGCTGAAACCCGGCTGGATTTTGGCGCCGCGTTTCGCTCTCGCCGGAAGCCCCCCCCCCCCCTCCCAGGGAAGTCTCGCGAGAGGCGGCGCGCGGGCGGGCGGTGCAGCTCCCCCAGGGTCGCCTCAGCCGCTCCCGCCGCGCCCGGGCCGCTCTCGCTCCTTCCCTCCCTCCTTCCTTCCTTCCTTCCTTCCTTCCCTCCTCTCCTTCCTGCCGTCCGTCCCAGCGCCGCCGACATGTCCCGCTACCTGCGGCCCCCCAACACCTCGCTCTTCGTGCGGAACGTGGCCGACGACACCCGGTGAGTGGGGGCGGAGCGGGGGCTCGCGCAGGCTTTGGCGGGCTCGCTAGGCCGCGGGCGCGGGGGTCCCCCCGCAGCCGGGGGAGGGAGGGGAGCGAGCCCGCCCCTCTCCCTTCCTCCGCTTTGCCTTCTCCCTTCTCCCTGCCCTGCCTTCCATTTCCCTCGCGGTGCTGCTCGTTCGCCGCCTCTCCACGCGGGTTCGTTTCCAAACAGCGTCCAGGCGGAACAAAGCTGGGCCGCAACAAAGTGAAACTCCCCGCAGCCGCCTTGGAGCGCGTCCAGCGGGAGAGCCGGGCGGGATGTGCCAGCGGGGCGATGCTGGACGGCCGCTGCACTTCGGGATGCTCCTCTGGAAGCGCAGTATTGCTGCTAGATGGGAGGAAATAGAGCGTTTGTGCCCAAAATTCCCGGCGTGGCCGGTGCCGTTAGTGTGGGCGCTGCCGCCGGTGCAGGTGGAACGTTCCGCCGTGGTTGCTGTGTACCGGCGTCTCTCGGGACGCTCAGTCCGAAATCGAGGGAAGCAATGCTTGGACTCCGTTATAATCGTGTGGTTCCGAGAGTCCCTAAGGACTGAACATGTGCGGTGAGAGAACTTCTCGTAGGGAATTGAAACAACAAAAACAGCATTGCACAGGTTCTTATTTATTCCTTCTATGCCTTTAGTGAGCTGGCTTTCCTCGTTTTGGTCACTAAATTGGGCAATTTAGTGACCAAAACCACCTTTGGTGTTTGTTATCAGCTGTTGAACATTTACACATCATCCCGTGGGCACGATGGAATTAAATGAAATTAAAAGTTTTACTTTTTTTTTTTTTTTTTTTCCCATGAGTTTGTTCATTTTTCCAGTAGTTTATTTTACTTTAAGAACAGCTGAGGATGATCACTTCCAAATTACAGTAATGTGGATCCTGCTGAGGATTCACCTTGAGCACAGAGTTCTTGGAGGTGGTTTCATTGTGAGATCTCCGTGTTGGTGGCAGTTCCCTTCTGCCAGCACTGACTGTGGAGATTTATTTCCCAACTGGTGCAAGAGAAAGGAAATAATACTAAAACCCAGTAGTAACTCTCACATAGCACCTAAATATGGTGTTGCACCGATCTTCTCATGCAGGTTTTTGTCCTCAAATTAAATGTGAGGAGCTGATGTGAATGAGAAGCCTCTGGTGAGGAGAGGCTGTTGTTCCAGGGGTGGCTGCAGCTGAGCAGTTCTGTCTCAGCTCTCTAAAGCCAACTCTTTGGAAAAACTATCCCGAGGGCATGAGTGGCTGCTCACTGAGATCTGTTCTGTTTGATGTGGTTGTAAGTATTGATTATTCTATGGAAATGAGTTCGGGTGACTGACATAATGTTTATTTGGATCTCATAATTGATGTTTGTTGGTTGCAAAATCACTGTCGAGATACCTGAATAATAATGATAATTTAACAATCCTTTCTTTCACTTTCTGCATTGAATGAACTGGTCTGCATCACTTCTCAGTTTACATTTTTATTTTTGGGGTTGTGCTGAAGGCTGCTTTCAAACTGCCAGGGTGTACTTGAGCATCCTGAGACCTGAGTGTGCCAGAAAAGCTCCAACAGGGAACTGCCCAGACACAATTCCCCCCAAAAGTACTACTTCCATCCTCCACCAAATGCTTCCAAAAACCGGGGATGCTGCTGTTAACTGCAGACCTGACTTTTTTTGCTTGTTTAGCTCAGTTTTGGTGGGTGTTTGTGGCACCCCAAGCCATATCAGGTGTTTGTGGTGTTGCAGGTCCGAAGACTTGCGCCGGGAGTTTGGTCGTTATGGGCCTATAGTTGATGTTTACGTTCCTCTTGACTTCTACACTCGTCGTCCCAGAGGATTTGCCTATGTTCAATATCCTTTCTTCAGATGGCTCATTAGTGAGGGGTGTTGAAGTTTGAAATTCAAGTTTGTGTAAGAGGTAACCAATCTAAATGAAAAAGCAGTTTACTTTTGTGTTGTATCTAATTAAGTGTCTTACTTATGTCGTGGTGTTTCGTTATTTTTGAAGATTAACTTCTCTCAATTGTTCTTTGCCTTTTTTGCAAAACTTAAGTCCAGTAATATAAAAGCTTGCTTATGTCACTGAAATTTATATTATATGATTTAAATGAAAATTTATCACTGACTCAAAATTGTCTAGCACGTTTTTATTACTGGTGTGTAAGTAAAGTTGTGCTTAGCAAAATGTGGCTGCTATTCATTGTTAATTTAACAAATTGAAACTGGAATCACTTGATCAAAATCAGATTGTGTAAAAAATGAGGTGAACTTCTTTCTTTAATATTGTCCCCTAATTTGCTGTCCTCTGTTGTTGCCTCAGAATGTAAAGCTGTACAGTAATGGCGACCCCAAAGAGAAAGCATGAAAGAACCTTTAGAGTAGAGTTCAACAATTAAGGCAAGTAGACAAGCCAAAGACCTCTTAAGGATCAGGCTTGAAGAGAAGGGAGAGTTTGGGAAAAGAAAAAATAAAGAAAAGCTGGAAGAAGGACAAGCCATAATGGGAGACAAAGCTTCGCTTTATCTACAAAAGGGGGAAAAGGTTGTTTTTCAAAGTTAAAGATAAAGCCATCTGTCATTTTTGGCCAAGCATCTCATGACAAGTCCTTCTGACAAGCACTTAAAGAGTTAAAGGTCAAGATGAAGTTGAATGGTGGCCAAGATTAAAGGAGTCATACCTGATGTATCCTACAGAATAACAGTTTTTCTTCTGTCTGTCATTTGATGAATTATTCTGGTTTAGTCCATTGACAAAACCTGTAATATTTCTCTTGTGAGTGCTACTGTAACTGTGGTCTGAATGAAATGGAAGTTTCTCTCCTGCAGAGATGATGCTGCTGAGAAATGAGTGGCCTGGAGGGGAAAGGCAGCTCATTGTTTTGGGTCCCAAGAGCTGGAATTAGGGGTGTAAATTCCAGCATTAAAACAAATGTCTGTCACTGTACCTTGGCCCTGAGTGGCAGCTCAGGGCTCCCAGTGCCTGCTCTTCTCTCACACAGGGCTGTGGCATGACATCACTTAAACCTAAAATCAGTTGCTTAAAACAAAAAGGAAAGCTTTATTCCAATTCCAAAGTTAATATTTACTGTTGGTATGTCCAACGTAACTTAAGAACTAGGGCTTAATTTTAACAACCTCAATGTAGTGGAGAGAACTAAATGACCATTAACAAGTGTGTTTTGAAAGGATACCTTTGTTTTCCTTGCATAAGTACAAGTGGGAGAAGAAAAAAAATTAAAAGTATCACTTAGCAAGTGCTTGCTGATGGATAAATTCATGGTCATATTACAAGATTTTAATTTTATAACAGGAGTTCTCACATAGCTGGTGGTTAATTTAAAAAAACACTAGTGTGTAGAGTAGCATGACAAAAAAAACCAAAAACTTAAAACATGGCTGTAAAATGAGAAAATAACTTTCAGATTTTTATTTTAAATGCCAAATCTGTTAAACTGCTCAAATTCCCAAGTACCTTAACACTGCCCACATTTGAAGATGTCCGTGATGCAGAAGATGCTCTCCATAATTTGGATCGAAAGTGGATTTGTGGTCGGCAAATAGAAATCCAGTTTGCACAGGGGGACCGCAAGAGTAAGTGCCTGGATTTGATCTCTCCCTGGATTTCAGCACCCAGCACTGCACGTGCTGCTAATTGTTGTGATGTGTTCTTATTGTCTTATGGATGTCCTGCCTTTCATGCAGTAACTGTTAATGACTCGTTTAATTACAAATGGATAACTGAGTACAGCAGTCAGCGCAGTCATTCTTTGGAGCTTTCTCTGTAGGATTGAGGTAATGTCTTCATTTTCATTTGGCTTCAGGATAAAAGTCATTTTCAAGTTAGCTCAGTTCAAGGTGGAGCAGAACTTGTATTTTCTGAACAAAGAAATGTAAAGAGAATGTAGATGTTTTAAATCTGTTGTTTGTGTTGCAGGGAGATACAGATTTGTAAAACCTGGCTCAGGCCTGTTGGTCTAAACCAGGACTGTAATACTCGTGTGATGCCTGGGAATAAAAAGACCTTAAAGGTCTTTAGTTACAGCTCTCAGAGAAACAACCTGACTGTCCAGTTCTCCCTCACAGTTAACTCTAATGGAGTCAATGGAAATTCTACACTCCAAAGGACAACTTTCTGCCCTGTGTATAAACATTGGGGTTTCTAACAAGTTTCTGGGCAAAATTAACTGAATCCACCTTAGTGTATTGCAAGCAGCACTAAAAACTTAAAATTTGAAGCAGTTTAATACAGAGGATGTTTGTTCCAGCATGCTTAAAATAAAGAGCATGGTCTTTGGGTTTGAACTTGATACAAAGGAAGGATAGCTGTGCTGCTTAGAGGAAACACAGTGGAAGACTAATAGGTTCATTCATTCTTAATTACTTTAATAACTAAGCTGCAGAGTGAAAGTGAATTGTTTTACTGGGGGATTCCTTTTGGAATCAGAATTCCCTTTGTGTGGCATCCACCAAAGCCTTTGCATAAGCTGGGCCTTTAATCATTAAAGACAGCTGTGGATCAGGTGTGAAGATGGTGCTGTGCAGTCAGGAGAAAGTGTTTAATTAGCTTTCACTCATTGGGTAAATTCAGGAATGTCAGAATGTGTCAGTCATGGGTCTGACCTGCTGTACCAGTTTCCAGCTGGCCTGAAATCACCTTGGCCTGCTCTGTGTTCTGGTTTTATGGAGCATTAGTCCTTTCTGACTGGTTTTGAGTGGGTTATTTTGTTTGTTTTGCTTTCTAGATTTACAGTGCCCCCAAGGCTGCATTAATTTGTGTCCAGTGGCTCAAGCAGCACAAAACGAGTGGCACAGAGCAGCCTCTCACCTGTCCCTCCATAAACATCAAATCACAAATGCACGGCTTAAACCTTGAGGGGAAAAAGTAGGGCATCATCTTCACCTGCAATATTGCTATTTTTACAGCACCAAACCAAATGAAAGCCAAGGAAGGGAGAAACCTGTACAGTTCTTCTCGTTACGATGACTACGACAGATACAGGCGGTCTCGGAGTCGCAGCTACGAGCGCAGGCGGTCGAGGAGTCGCTCCTTTGATTACAGCTATAGAAGATCCTATAGTCCCAGAAAGTAAGTGTAGAGTGTGGGGCTGGCCTCAGCTGCACAGCACAGACACACCACGCTGACTATTTCATTGTTTCACTTTGGAATCATCTTTTTTTTTTTTTTTTCTGTCGTGGGAGTAACCGCTGGGAGTTGCGTACCTTGCATGCTGCATCTGATCAGTAGTAGTGAATGAAACGATTCTGTGCTGCATTGGAGGATAACCAAAAGCAAATGCACAGCTTCAAAGTAGAATGTGTGAAGTGCTTGTACGTTTACGTAGGTATTTGTCACCGTTTACTTTTTCTGATGTACCTTTTTAGCAGTAGACCTACTGGAAGACCTCGTCGTAGCAGAAGCCATTCGGACAATGATAGGTAAAAAAACACTTTTATTTTAAATTGCAAGCTAGATCACTGTATTCCTTTAACTGTAGGTTTAAAAAAAAGTTTCTCCTGCAAAAACGGTAAACAATTTTTAATGTGCTAGATGTCTAAGAATAGTGTTTTTACATTCAAATCTCCTCTCTCCCCTTTATTCTGATAGGTTCAAACACCGCAATCGATCTTTTTCAAGATCTAAGTCCAATTCAAGATCACGATCCAAGTCACAGCCCAAGAAAGAAATGAAGGCTAAATCACGGTCTAGGTCTGCATCTCACACCAAATCTAGAGGCACCTCTAAAACAGATTCTAAAACACACTATAAGTCCAGCTCAAGATATGAGAAGGAGTCGAGAAAAAAAGAACCAGCTAGATCCAAATCACAGTCAAGATCACATTCTAGATCTAGGTCAAAATCCAGATCGAGGTCTTGGACTAGTCCCAAGTCCAGTGGCCACTAACAGTGTATCCATGTTGGTTTAGGCATGTAAGATTCATTTACACACAGTTCAGTTTACTTAAATTATCAGGAATATGATGTTGCAACAGTGCTAAAAAATATTTTCTTTGTCAGTTTTCCCTATAGGCGACAATGGTTGAAATTAAAACAGTGTTGAGAAGCCACAGAGAGAGAGAGAGAGGGAGAGAGTTTGTCAACTTGGTTAAATGTCATGGGCAGCTACTGATTTGGTTGTGGTGTCTCTATGTATATTTTTGTAAAGATTTGCATTTTTAATGCTTAGATATTTGGTGACGACTTGGTTGATCGTAACTTGCAACATTGTCCTTTTACAAACGTCACACCCATAGAGAAATTGGTACCAGTTTGTGCTGGGCAGTTAAACCAGCTGTTTAACTGGTTCTTCAACTCTATAAACTTTGTGAGGAAAAGGAAAACTGGACAGCTGTAGTGCAACACTGGCTGCTGGGAAATCAGACTGGCAGTTTGTTTCCATGGCTCCAGGGCAGGTCTCAGTGTTCTCCGTGCCCACCAGAACCAGCAGGTTGGCACATGGAGCTCTGTGGAGGGAGATTTGGGAGATTTCTCTTTAGCCTGCTGTCTGGAGAGATGGTACTAACCTTGCATGTATGACATGGGCAGAGAGCTGCTCCTGGAGCTCGCTCAGAGCCTGGGCAGTGTTGTGACCCCTCGGGATGGAGGCTTCACTGCCTCTGCCCTGGCTGCTGGTGCTGAATGTGAGGGAAAAACCCACCTTGCAATGGAAAACCTAAATTCAGATTTCAGCAAACGGCAGAGCAACTAAATATTAGGTCGTGTGTACATTTTATGCAGTTTTTTGTATCTATTCTCAATTTTAGTGAGCAGTTAACCATAAAGTTGCTTAGTTTTCCTGCTGTTAGGTACAAGTAGATCGTTTCGAGTTGTGTGTGTACAGTATATAAGAACTAAACTTTTATGCCAATGACTCCTGTGGTTAGTTGGTGTATTCATAGGTATCAAACTGTAGCCATCTCCCTGGGTTACCAGGCTTGCTTGCTTTTTACACAGCAAAAAAGCAGTCGGTCAAGCAAGTCTGAATCACTCCTTCCTCAGAATGGATAGTGATTTGGTTACAAGATTTCATTTTCCTTCAGAACAAATGTTTGAAGTTGGATATGAACAAGAGCTGCATCTCTAGTTATGTAGTTTATCACTAATACAGTATATTTAGAAAATGGAACGTGAAAAATAACAAACCCAGTGTGTACTCTTACCAGTATTTCTCTAGAAGGCAAGATCCTTTGTTATGGAAATGGCTTTTGGCATTGTTTATTTTTTTTTTCTATTTACTCTCAAAAGCCACCATCAAACACTTAAGTGTTCCTCACTGTCTGATGTCTGTAGCATATAAAGACATTGATTTCCAAAAGTTCCTTTTCAGAGAAATGTTTTAGGGTTTGGGTTTAGTGTTTCAGCAGGGCCTTTAAAGAAGCGCAGATGGCTTTGGGATCTCGTCAGTGGAACGTGCTTAGGAGTTGATCCTAGAACCTTTGTACATTTAATAGTATTTCTAACTTTTTCTTTACTGTTTGCAGTTAATGTTCATGTTCTGCTATGCAATCATTTATATGCACGTTCCTTTAATTTTGTAGACTTTCCTGGATGTATAGTTTAAAAACAGCAAAAAGTCTATTTAAAAACTGTAGCAGTAGCGTGCAGCTCTAGCAGAGGAAAGTTGTGGGATTAAACTTTGTATTTCCTTTCTTATAGAGGCTTCTAAAAAGGTATTTTTATATGTTCTTTTTAACAAATATTGTGTACTACCTTTAAAACATCGATGTTTTGATCAAAATAACTAAAGACCCAGCTTATTTTCTGCTTGCTGTAAATTTAGCAAACATGCTGTAATAAAAAAATGAAGGAAATACTGATCCACTGGAATTATTGTAGCATTAGAATTTGACTCCAGAGCATGGTTAGGAGTAGAGCTATGCATCCCTTATGGAGTAAAATCCTTACTATGGTATTTCAGTCAAGGCAGGAATTTTTCATTTAGTGTCTGAATAAATGTCACTTCACATTTTTGAAGGGGTACAAGACAAACTGAGAACACTAAGCATAAGTTGTACTCTAACATACTGAATTTTCTTTGCCATTAACTTTCATTATTGCTGGATGGACTTACCCCATAGGTTATAATTCAGATATTACTAGCCAGGTTATGAAACTACTTAAAAGCAACGACTGAAGGTTCATACAGAAGCAAAATTACAGCATCACCATAACAATTTATAATTGCCATAACCAAATTGGTGCCAGCAGTGGTTCTGTGGGAGGTGGCAACAGGCACAGAGCTGCCTCCTTCCCTGGTGTGTGCCCAGCAGAAGGTTCTGCCCTGAAAGACAAAAATCACTGTAAAGCACAGAATTGCTTTCATAAACCCACTGCCACCCTTTGTGAGTTGAGCTGTGATTATTTCTGCTTCTAGCAGCAGAAACCCCCACTCTTTCCAGCTTTATAGATTGATATAAATATAGTCTTCATGACTAACTGCTGCTTGAGAGGGGTCCTCGTGACTGAGTGGTGGGGAGAGCGTGGCCGTGTCTGTCAGGGCCTGCTGGGATTGCTGTGCTCGGTGGTGGTGCTGGTCCAGCTGGAATTGGAGCTGGAAGGGTGGGAGGAGGGAGGAGAAATCTCCACGTCCAGGCAGAGTAACAGTAACTATTCCATAACTGTTGTGTCAGCATGTCCTTATATTGTGTGCCTCAGCATTTATGTATAGCACAGTTTAATTTTTGTTTTGAAAAGCCAGATCATTGCAAGTATAATGTAGTGTCTGCCAGTTCTGATGGTTCTTTCTTTCTCTCCCAGAGGTAGGACTAAACTTTGACTTGACTTGTGTATATGAACAAGCCAGAAAAGCCGAACACAAACCCACGATGTTTCAAGAGTGCATGAATAAAGATGTTGTCCTAGTTCTTGCTCCCATGGAAAAATTGTGAAGAAGCTGTTCTGTGGGCCTTTCAGTTGGGGACGAGTTAGCAGGATGTGGCCAAAAGGGCAGGGAATGTTTATGCATTCATGCAAATCAAGCCACAGCCCATCTAGATAACATCTCCCTTCCTTGATGCAGGTATCCCAGTCCTGCCCTAAAAAAAGCAGGAGCCTGTCTTGTGCAAGCTTCCTGCAGGTTATGCACAGCTGGAATGCAAGAACTTTGCAGGCTGCAAAAGATCATGTCTAGATATCTTTCTTTTGGAGTCTCAAGAACGGTGGGAATTACGTTTTTTCTGTGGTAAATCTAGATTTTGTCATTCCTGCAAAATTTGTAGAATTGAAGTAGCGTGTAAAAACAAAACCAACCTCTGCTGAAATTAATGGCTGTGCTCCAAAATATCTGCAGCGAATCGATTGGTGGCAGCAGTCGTAGAAGGCTCTATTGGAACTTCTTTTTCACCTAAAGTCCATGCACCCAACTGGTAATTAAAAATCTTCAATTTAGTGGTTAAGTAGCTGGGTGTTTAATTAGGGACTCTGATAGACTGGTCTCTGAAAGCTCAATGTTATCCTTTCTATGTCTTATCAAGATGTTTAATGTACAGTATCATGGTTTTACTCAAAGTGGAATCTTTTGGTTTTAATGTTGTTTGGAGCTCTCTGCTTGGACAGAGCTTTTTTTTCCTGCCTGCTGAGTCTGGTGCCAGCTGGAGGTGTGCTCAGAGAAGGGCAGTGCAGCCACCCAGCACTGCTGCTCGAGCCTTGCCAGGGACGGGGCAGACGAACATTCTCAACTACAAAGGGATAAAATTGACACATTTTTAGGCCATAATCGCCCATTAAGAATTGCTGGTTTTCTCCATTTATCTTGTAACTTGCTTAAAAAGTCTGTAGTCCATTGCTATAATATTTGTCTAAAGATGCTCTTGCTGCTGAGACTATTGTAGGAAGGGAAGACTCTGTACCCTGTAGTGTGTTTGATCCGAGATGCTGATGTTTTATTCACCCACATCCTTTCTTCTTGAGTTTTGTGTTCCATCTGTGCAAATAACCCTGTGAATTGGGAATAAAATGTACAAGTTTTGACTATAAACTTGAGAGCACCTTCTGACTTAATTAATCCAGCTGTAGTGTGTGGGAGACGGAGCCCCAAGCTTTTGGTTTTGTCAGGAACGTTAATTAGTGTTAATTCTCCAGCCCTGTGTTCCCTAACCACTGGAAAAGCATGAAGGAGAAGGCTGCAGTTAAAGAAACCTCCCTTGAGAAGGAACTGCCAAAATGAGGTCATCCCACTTTTCCATTTCCATCTGAAAACAAAGAGATGCTTTTAGGGGGTAAAAAAAAAAAAGTTTATTTAAATGTTTTGTTTCCAATTTGTACAATCATCATCAGTAATTGACAATTTGAAGTGGAGAACAGATAATTAACTGGGATACAGCTCAGACTCTGGTGAAGGTCCAGGTCACAACACAAGTTTAGAGACTGCCAATTCCATGTGATTTGGAGCAATAATTTTGTAAACATTCAGCTCAGCTGCCACTGCATTGGAATGTACAGAAAAACACCTCCAAGCATTTCACAATCTGCAAAAGGCCTGCTCAAATTAAAGCACTTTTTTTTTTTCAGTAATCCTTGTCTTTTGAAAGAACCCTGGCTGCTCGTGTTGTCACCCTCGAGCAGGATCAGCTGGAGGGGGACAGCACAGGAGCCACCTGCCCTGACCCTCTGCCGAGGGATTTTAGCAAAGATTGGGAGAAATGTTGTTTTACAGAGCACTGATGCATTTCAGAAACACAGAATTATTACAGTCCTTCAGTTTTATCAAGCACCTGAACCCAGGCATTTGCATCTCTTGTGAAACACTTGATTTGAACACACTCCTCTCCTACACATTCACAACAGGAGGATCTGGGATCTGAAACTCCAGCAGCTTTTTTTTTTTTTATTATTTTTTTAGGTTTTTTTTCTTTAATTAAAAAAAATCTAAATAAGCATTTTTTGCACTGATTTTACTTCCAAAAAATGAGATTAGAACCAAATACAATGTGCATATTCACTGCATGTGAAGTGCAAGGGCACAGCCACAAATGTCTTTTTTTTTTTTGTTAATTTTTTTTTTTAAACAAAATATTTTTTTTTTAAACCAGGCCACGTACTCAACATGGTCATCTTACATTCAGCAGTTTTGTACTAAAAATACTTCTGTGCAGGAAAGCCCAGCAGAAATTTACATATGCTACAATGTTTTACATGTATTTACATGGCTCTGTCTTCCCTGTGAGAACACCTAACACCTGCCCCAAACTATTAATTGTTACAGGGGAACCAATTTAAGACCAAACTAAGGAACTACTCCACCTTTTTTTATAAAAACCGATACAAAAATGTGGTTTAGAACTGCTCAGTGCAGTGGGCACACGAAGCATTTGGGGGAGCTTTTTTGGCAGTCACCTGGCAATGCAAGATCTTTAGTTGGCACTCGTGGAGATTCCTGGGAAGCACAGCTGGGTCTGCCCGAGGAGTTCTTCCACACCCTTCCAGAACATTCCAGATGGGAGTCAGGGCTTGAAACGCTCACCCACCACTGCAGGAGTGCCACTAAAGCTCACAGGGCAGGGAAGAGGATCAGCTGTTGCCCAGGTGGGGGTTTCTGCTCTGCAGAGTGTTTAGCAAATCTCACACCAGCCTGAAAAGCAGCAAATAACCTGACTAAAGTTTTCAGTGCGTTTTTTGTTTTCAGTTCATGCTGCATTAAGTTAGGTAAAAGGTGGTTTTTCTAACAATTCAAAGCCACAATTCCAATTTTGGCACGCAGTCCCATTTCTTCTTAAATACAGTAAATGGTGACTGCTCAGGATTTGATTGATTTACAAGAAAATATCTATTTCACAGTGAGGTGAACACAGCACTGAACTTCTGAGGTAAAAGATGAGGGGAATGTAAACTTTCACCCCTCTCCAAGTGACTAACTACATGCAGCAAGAACACCTGGTCCTGGCACACCTGGGGTTTGGAACAGCAACGCTCAAATCTGAAACCCTGAAAATCACACAAGTTACACCTCAGGCCTGGACTTTCAGTAAGGTTTTGAGCTGAAATGTCATTATTTCCTTATCAGAAGGTTTAAAAGGAACAGGTACCCAGTGGCTTGGTGGCTTAGGCAGAACACTTGGGGAGGGTGGCTCGCTGAACTTGGCTCCAGCATAGTTCTGGTTGCTCTGAGGGGTGAACAACAGGTTGTGGTTGGACAGAGCAGGATTCCAGTTGGGATTCTTGGGGAAGTGAACGTTGTTCTTCCCCCCTTTCTGCATGGCCTGCCATGCACCAGGAGAGGAGCTGCAGCCGTGGCCTCTTTCCTTCTTCACGTAGGTTTTCATCTGAGAATTGGGGTCTTTGCTCTTCTGCCTGTTTTTAAGTTGCTGATGGTTCTTGGTGGTGTTTCTAGACTGGGGAACGGGAATGTTGTATCTTTCTCCACCGCCCATCTTCAACTTAAATGTCACCTGTAAAAACAAAAGGAGTCAGGATAAGTCTTTATTACTCTTTTTTTTAATAAACAAAGTATTTCAGAGAATGTTTAGATTTCAGGCAAAGGGACAAAAATCAACCTGAACAAAACTCACTCTAAACATACCACTTCTGTCCTGAGAAAAGGTCTAACAGGAGGAATGGCACTGACAAAACCTTGCTCAGGAAATGCAGAGTCAGATTTAATCCGTCAATATTACTGAGTGCTGGAGACATTTAAATTCAGCCTGTTAGCACCTAAAGATTGGGCAAAGTTTGCACTTATAAAGCCACTGCCCATACTTCCTGGTAAGTGTAAGAATTGCTCTGATAAACTCAAAATGAACTGACAAGTGCCTCAAGTGGAGCAGATTTCATGCAATTCCCAAAGCCCATGCCCAGACTCCAGCACAACACTCAGCACTTCCCTGCTGGCTCTCCTGCAATGTTTATTTCCCCTCTCCCACCTCCATTTACCTCTCAGTGGTCTTCTCCGATTCCACACTCTCCAACTCTTGCCCCCTTTCTTGCTTCCAAGCCTGAAAGAAGAGGTGCTGCCTTGTGCTGGACTCCTTCCTTTGGCTGGGAATGGAAGTTTTCATGGGCTGATCTGCTGTCTTCAGCCAGGGAGCCGAGCCCAACATCGGATTCTCGGCACAGAAGCTCCAAGGGAGAAGTCCTGCTGCAGAAACGAGAAAGAAATTTCAATTCAGATTATGGAAACAATTGTTTCACTTTGGGGTGGAAAGAAGGGCAAGCGGAAATAATTCTGCTGTGTCTGTTTATATGTTAAAGCAACAACGTGCTACAAACAAAACCCCACCCAAAAAGACAGAGCTTTGTCTTTCTCTACTCACATAAAGTTCACCACCATACTTAGCATATCCCAAGTAACATTTTGCTCATGCTTTGTCTTACAAAGCATTTTAACAATCGAGGACTTTAACCCTTTCGTTTCAGTAAGGAAGAAGTAAAGTACAATGGAAAATACTTTGGGAACTGGGACCAATACAGGAACTACCCACAGTGCCTAAACCCTTCCCCAGCCATCACAGAGCTCCATTTGTCATCTGTCAGCTGTTTCTTTACCCTTCGTTAGCCAAGTAATTCCTTAATAACTCTTACACTAATTTCCTGTTTTGCTCATGGCTTGTCTTTTCCTGCGATCTCAGATTTTAGTCGGCGCACTCGAGTCCGTTCAGCCCCTGCCCATCCCTCCCAGGGCTCCAGAGGAGCCGCCCATCCCCACTTCCAGCTTCCGCCTTGTTTGGACTGAAACCAAAAGCCGAGATAGCGTCACCGGCCGCGGCCCTGCTGCCCTCTGCTCCCGCTGACCGGAGCTTCTTCGCCTCCGAACTTTCTCCCTTCTCTCAGTGACGCCTGGGGGCAGCCGGGACCCTCCGTCCCCCTTCCCCAACAACGGAGCACAACATGGCGGCGGCCGCGCCCGGCCCTTCCCGCGCCGCTCCGCCCTTACCGACTTCTGTCCGCTCCTCTCGCCCACAAGCGCGGACACACACACGGCGCTCCGGGAACCGACCCCGCGCTGCTCCGCCGTCACCGTTCGACCCCCGCCCCCAGAGCTTGCTCCGCTCCGCACCTCACTCTCCCTCACAAAATGGCGGCCGCGTCCTGCTCCGTTTAACACCCTCTCCCGCCTCCCCCCTCCGCGGGGCCGCGCGGCCTCAGCCAATGGGAGCGCGCCGCTCTCCCGCTCCGCCAATGGGAGCCAAGCCCCGCCTGTTGCCAGGCGGGCCCGGGGCAGAGCGGCCGCGGCGCGCGGGCGGGCGGGGCCGCCATTTGAATCCCCTCACGAAGGGCAGCGCGGGAGCAGCCGCCGCTCTTTGTCCCGCCCGGGCCGGCCCCGCCGCCGGGCACCGCCCGCGGGCCCCCCGGCCCCTCGCCACAACCCCCCGGACACGCTGCCAGCCCCGCCCCGCCCGCGAATTAGCACAACAAACATCGTGGGGAACGCCCGCGCCAGCTGCCGCTGGGGGCTTCAAAGAGGTGAAATAATTAACAAAAAAAAAAAAAGGGAGAAACGCACAAAACACCCGGCTGTGCGAGCGAGAGCCGTCGAGAGAAGGGATTCAGCGAACAAAGAGTAAAATCAACCCCCCGGAGATGGCCGCAGCGCTCTGATGCCAGATGGACGCTCTCGGGTTTGTTGTACCCATTCCCCGGCCTGCGTTTAGTTAAACTATTTGATGTTTAAATTTAAAGTATTGAAAGCGACGTAGAGGGATGTTGCAGGTTAAAAGACAGGGAAGATATTCCCCAGGTTTAAAATCAGCGCTGTGGGTATGCAGAGACCCCGGCAGTGGCTGCAGTTTGTGTTTATATTCACGTTCTCTTGTTTTGCCTCAAAGGATCGTTTCGAAGAAAAAACCCACAAGATTTGGCCTTTGCCGTGTGTAGGATGATTAAAAATTAGGTATAGGTAAGAAATTTGCACATGGAGAGTGTTCCCTGCCCAGCACTGAGAGGCCAGTCCAGCACTGTACACCACATTAAAGGCTGAAAAAAGGAAGTTTCAGAGAAAATGGAAAAGAACGAGTTCAGTTCCAACCCCACCAAGTCAGGGCAGTACTTAAAAACAACAGATGAACATTCAGAGTTTTTATTTTGAAGTAAAGACCCTGGTTTCATTGGGTGACCCTGCATTTTTAGTTACAGAAGAGAAAAATTCCTGCTTTATCCCTAAAACAAAGCTGTTTCCTCACTGACCTGATGTTACAGGGCTGTGACCCAACCCAGGACAAGGTAAAGACTAAACAGAAGTTAGTATTCATCGTGCAGTTGTTTAAAAAGCCAGTATATATTTTAATACACAAGATATGTTGACATACCCGAGCCCAGATCTTTGTTCCTATTCTTTATTTTATGTTACACACAAAGCCAGCTGAAATTAATTTGTTTTCCTCCCTTTGCTTTGGATTTCTTGGCACAATGTAATGGTTGAAGCCTTATAGCAGCTTTTTTTTGTCTTTAGATGGAAGACAACAATATCTGCTGCAAGCCTGGAAATTCCACTCATTAATTAACAACTCTCCTACAATGCACATCAGCAGATTTTTGCTTTGTTTCTATCTCTAGTGTGTTTATTTCTGCTAAAACACCATCTCACCCCAGCGTGTGGATGTTCTCAAGCCAGGACGTGTCAGTGGGATTAAGAAACAGCATTTTGCAGGCTGCAAATGTTCTGCTCTTGTCTGGGCAGCACAACAGCGTGTACTTTTCAGTTCAGAACAAGGGTGACACAAGGTCTGGCTGTTTGTCCTTGCTATCTTTGAGATAATTAAAGAAACATCTTGTCTTTCAGAGCTGGTTTTGGGGTCAGGCTGACACATTCAGCCTGGGGGAGCAGGAAATGTCAGTGATAAGCCATTCCTGTATTTGTGCAGGAACTGTTCCACTGAAACAAATCGAGTCATTTGGAGGCCAAGCAGGAACACGAGGGTGTTTTTGAAATCAAAGGGACAAATACCCCAAACACCACAAAGTCCAGCTTGCAAAGTTCTGTGCTTCACTCTTCAGCTGTTAGAACCCTGGCTGGTTTCCTCCCTGGAGTGGAAGGAAAGGAGATGCTTCCACAGCTGTGGAAACCACAACAGACAGAAGAAGAGTTCCTGCTGCATCCTGAAGACACAGCACAGACTGAATCCTGAGCTTCTGTCTCAATCCTTTATCATCACCACCTGAGATTCCTTCAACAGGAGCTACTTCACTCCTTCAAGTGCTGAGTTTTAAACCCTCTTCCTTTTCAAAGGTCTCCCTGTGACATTTGTGACTGCTATGCATGTGACACTACGTCAGCCTCAGTTACTCACGGGCAGACTGGGATATTTTAGCTGCCTCCAGGATCGTGCTGTGCTCACCCTGATGTGCTGCAGCCCTGCAGGTGCCACAGACCCAGTTCCAGAGGCAGAGCCCTCGAACACAGTGCTCCCAAACCCACCCTGCTGTGCCACGTGGGGACACAGACTCAGTGACCTCCACTGCACCCTCTCATAACCTGTACACACAACAGGGACACGAGTTTTCTATTGTGCAAGTGTCTGCTCTGTCTGGATTATTCCACTTCCTCCAGGTACTCCAAAGATGACTGCAATAAATCCCAGCTTCCCTCATGTTCCCAGGCAGCTGTGTTACCCAGATCCTCCTCAGCTCCCCACCACGCTTCTGCTGCCACGGTGACAGCACCTCAAAGTTTTCCCCAGCCACCTTTATTTTTCACTCAGCACCTCCACTCCCTCTCAGAGCAAACATTAATCCAGCCCAGGGAAGCAGCTCCATCTGTGCTGGCACTGCCACAACCAGCAAGTCCCAGTGAAGACAAAGCCTCCAGAGCTTCATTAGCCCCAAATTAAGATGCTCCCAGCTGTGGCTGAGCTGGATCTCAGCACACACATGCTCCTGCCCGAGTGTTTCAGTGGAGCTGCTGAGCGTGGATGCTGCAGGAAGTCTGCAGCACGGATGACTCATTTGTTAAATCAATAGTGAACCATTGCCCCAGTTTTATTTCACAGTGACGAGTTTCCGGCAGTGGGTGACTTTCAGTAAACCCAAGATGTTTACTTTTTGTGGCTCCAAGAGCCCCGTGACACACTTGAAACTCGTTAGACGTTTCCACCTGAGCCAAACATTAACCAGATTGTTAATCTAAGTTTCCTCATGAGGGAAATGTGCGAGTTTGTGTTTTCTTTAAAATGTGCATGAAAGCACTGGGTGTACAGTAATGTTTAGAATATCCTTTATTCTGCCTGGCAGAGGACCCGTGTTCTTTAAATAACGCCCAGGATATTCACAGCAGTGAGCTACAGGAACTGAGCAGACATTTGAACCTCTGCAGGGTAAACAGAGAAGAGGCTCAAGAACCCAAACAATGTGATAAAACTACACATTTTTATCACTTAAATCTCCTTATAAGTATATTGATATAAGCTTTAGACATGAATTAAGTTGGTGTCCACCAGCACCTGAGTTAGATCAGCTCCAGAACACAAGTTCCCTCCTCTGCACTGCTGGAGCTCGTGAGTGTGAGATCACATCGTGCACTGGTGTGTGGGGATGTGCACAGCACCAGGAGTAAAACCACCCCAGAACCGACAGGGCACTGAGCCAAACCCCGAGCCTGGGGGGTTTAAAGGGCTTGTGCTGAAGCGGCTTTGTCACAGCTGACAGCTTTTCCCACTCTGGAAAACAAACACATCCAGGCGCGACTGCCGAGTCACGCCCTGTTTTCTGCCTCAACAGCTCCCCGTTCGAACCCACACCGGCTCTGAGTCACAGAGCCCTGCAGGAACCTTCAGCCCATGTAAATCAATATGCCCGGTTCACGTCCTAGCAGCAGGGAAAACAGTTTTACCTGAACCCTCCTCCCTCCACAAGAGCAGCAGAGAGGTGTTTGTGCCGCAGGCCAGGGCACAGGAGAATCCCTCAGCCAAGCCCTGTTTGCTCTCAGGAGCTGTGCTAGACACGGCAGTAAAGCTGGGGTTTTTTTCTCAGTATTTTCTCTCTGAGTGCAGTAAAGTCACTCACCGTGGCTCTCTGAGTCACACCTTATCAAGGTGAGCAGTGCCTGACCCTCAGCCCCGTCTGCACCACCCAGTTTTCAAATTCAGCCCAGCAAACAACAGTCAGAGGAAGAGGAGCAATCCCTGTCCTCACACAGACACCCTTCCAGCAGGGGCTGGTGTCTGAGTGTCCCAGCACAGCCCCGGGGCTCTTCACTCTGCTCTGGAGACAGAAACACCACTCCTGAGCAATACCAGTCCCTTTCCCAAGCACCTGCACAGCATTGCTTCAACCCTGGGTATGGGGGTGTTCCCAAAGCAGGGTTATTCCAGCAAAAATCATTTACATTACAGGCATCAGCTCTAATGGTTTTCCTTTAGTCTGGCAGGACAATTTTTGCTATAAATCAGGGTCAAATTAAAAGTTTCTAACTATGCTGCCATAATATTATTTCTTTCCTGTGACACAACAGTTCTCCCTGCAGACAGAGGAAACTTGTGTCTGTATTTCACAGGATGCTGCTGGATGTGAAGCTATGTCAGAGCAGGGAATAATTTGGGGTTGGATGCTGCTGTTGGAACTCAGGACCAGCATAAAGAATCTTTCTGTTTTTTTCCTGCTCTTTACAATCTTGTACCTGCTCCTGCAAATTTCTCAGTTCCTGGAAACGGGAATGGAAGAATTATTTTTTGAGACAGAGCTGACAACCCATCATCTCCTGTGCTTACCCCACAGTGATGCCTCTCATCGTTGGTGGTTTCCAGTCCCCCTCCCAGCCCCGGAAGGGTCGGGCAGGTCCCTGCAGAGCCAGGGAACCCCCTTTTCCCGGCCGGGGGCCAGGAGGAAGCGCTGAGTTCCCAGTTCTGCCTCCTTCTCAAGCCTTCCCCGGGCGCTGCCCGGGCTTCCCTGGAGAGGGCAGCCGAGCACCGCTGAGCTCCGGCGGCTGCTGCCGAGCCCCTGAGCCGCACACGCTGCCCCAGGGGAAGGAGGCAAAGCGGGATTTGGATTTGGAGAGGACGGGGTGTAACCGCTCGTGATGCCACCGAATGAGGGAACTGGGATCCCAGCAGGAGGGAAAGTTGAGTTCCCAGCTGGAGAACCGAGGTGCTGGTGCTGGGATGGGGCCGTGGGGTCGCCCTGTGGGTGGCAGAGCGAGGTAAGGAGCATCCAAGGGCTAAGGATCCCATCTTTGCTTCGCTTCCAAGGCTCCCCACTACAGCCTGTATGTACATCCAACTACAGTGTGGCCAGCTCCTTTGGGATTTGGGGCCAGCTTGCCTGTCCCCCCTGACGCGGTGATATTGTCCCTGGTGTCACCCGGCAGGGAAAGCTGTCCCTGCTTTCCAGAGGCACCAGCACAGCCCAGCCCCAGGCTGCTGCCCAGCCGAGGGGGAAGTGGTCACTGGAGGAAGGATGGATGGGAGCAGGTACAGCAGCGACCACAGCCTCTGCACCCCTCTGACCACAGGGATTGTGTAGCTGAAGACCTTAAGGCATTTTCCTTCCGCTTGAAGAGAGAAAATCACCTCGTTCCTCTGGCATGAGCGGACTGTGTACAGAGAAATTGAGGGGCACAGGTGAGATTTGTGCTGCTCGTGGAGCTGCAGGCAGACAGCAGATTTCTGAGCTTGCCCTTAGACCTGCACACAACCAGGTACATCCAGATTTTTTCACGTCTGCCTCCTTGCTTCTTTCCTCCCCATACTTTTCCGTGTTCCCAGAGAAATCAGGAGGAGAACCTGAATGTCTCTTGCCTCAAACTCTGCAGCTACATGGAGAGATGAGAGGGACTGGGAGGACAATTTCAGCGAGCCGGAGGGTTTGGGTGGTTGTAGATGTGGCACGAGCAGGCAGCAGAACACAACACCCAGAGGAGAAGGGAGGAAGGAAAAAAAACTCGACACACATTCTCCGAAAGAATGTGACAGAGAGCAAGGAAGCAGAGGAAGGATTCACACGGATGGATTTCCAACCCAGGGGAATAAACCAGAATGGTTCAGCAAACCCAGACGAAACCAGAAGTGCTGTGAGAGGAGAGGGAAGCGGGCGCTGTCCGCAGCTGCAGCAGCTGCCCTGAGAGCCGGAGCGATGGGAAGCCCCAGAGCATCGGTGGGGAGGTGAGTGGTTTGTGTTTGCTGACCCACAGCATCCTGCAGCCCTGGGCCCTTTTTTCACACTGGAACACATCACCCCTGAGAGCCCTCGGCGCTGCCATGCACAGGGCAGGCTGGGATGGAGATTCTCTGCTGCACGGGAGGTTCCTGGGATTCTCTGTCAGCTCTTTGGGGTAAACTGCAAGGCAGTGTGTAACAGAGGGTGGGAAACTGGTTTTTAGGATGGATCCTTTCTTAAGGAGAAGATGAAAGGTAAGTGCTTCGTAGCAGACTGTGGGTTAACTCTTTACAGCTGATTTTGGGAATTTTTAATGTTGGAACTGAAGCGACAGGACAAGGGGGATTGGGTTCCAAGAAATCCTTCCCTGTGAGGGTGGGGAGGCCCGGGCAGAGGGTGCCCAGAGCAGCTGTGGCTGCCCCTGGATCCCTGGCAGTGCCCAAGGCCAGGTTGGATGGGGTTTGAAGCACCCTGGGACAGTGGAAGGATGGCACTGGATGGGCTTTAAGGTCCCTTCCAGCCCAAAGCATTCCCTGATTCTCTGTCAAAGGTATTTCCAGATGTCTCATGGGGATGTGATGCTGAGTTCAGTGTTTATGATGGTTTTGGTGCAGTGAGAGCAGCTCTGGTTTGCCCTGCTTTGTACCCAAACTGGCACTTGCAGCTGCTCTGCACCCACCCCATCCTGGGTTTCACTGTCCCCTCAGGCAGTCACACATGGGCAGAGCTGATAAATAATCAAATAATCTGCAGTGTGACATTTGAGGCAGACAGGTCTTACATCAGGGAGGGAATTCCACTCAGTGTCATTTAATGTGGTCAGGACAAACCAGGGTGAACAGCTAATTCCAAAATAATGGAAAAACTTCTGCAACTAAACCAGGAAATCACATACAAACTAAAATGTTTGTAAAGCAAAAGATACTTTTTGCTTGTTCAGCAAGTGAAATTTGCAAGCATTAGTGACAATTTTTTGCATAAATCACCACACTTGTTCATAGTAGGTGATCATTTAAGACATTTTCTTATATTGCAAAGCTCAAAACTCTCAGACATTCTGAACATGAAATATTCAAGAGCAGCGCTTTCAGAGTGCTTGCAGGCACAATGCACTGGCTGATTGCAGCAGGAAAATTTAATTTTACATTATCTAAGCGAGTGGTAGGTAACTTTTTAATCAGCAGGACGCTGTGATGGCTCTGTGAAGGCAGGAGCCATCCCAAGTGGAGCAGGGATGGTGCTGCTGCTGCAGGGCACCGCCAGCCCCACAGCTGGAAGCAGTCACAGCGAGGAGCTGAGGAGGAAAAGGACTTCTTCATTTGTAAATTTAATTTCCCCCAAAGCCAGTTGGAGCTATTAGGCTGGAGTGAGCTGGAGTGAGATCTGATGGGAGGGGAGCTTTCACTTTTCACTGGGGCTGTATCAGGAATGTGTTGCATTCCCAAGTATCTTAGCTGGGTTCTGTTCCTAATAACTCACTCCTCATTCATTCACTGTTGTTTGCTGGGGCTCTGCTCTTGTTGCTGGGGGGGTTCCCTATTGCAAGGACACGTTATTTTGGCAAAATATTCCCTACCCTGGGCCTTCCTGCTGGCAGGAGATGCTGTGCTGTGATCAGAGAGTTCATCCTGGGCAGAAGCTCAGGCTCAGCTGCTGCACTTCCAGGGAACCAGCCCCTGTGTGCCACAGCCCTGGCAGCTAAAGGAGGCCCAGAAGGCACTTGGCTCTTTCTTGTTGAGCTGAGCTGTCAGCCCATGGGACTCCCTGGGCTTGCCAGGCTGGATGCACAGCCATGCCTGGGGCTGGAATTCCCCAGGAGGTGGAGATGCTGCTCTTGGAAAGGGGGTTTCCACCCTGGAGGTGGGATTTGCCCCATGGAGGATGCTGCAGGTCAGCTCTCCCCCAGGAACCACATATGGGCTGGCACTTTTCCCAGGAGCTAAGCCAGGCAGGGGGCAGAGGCCACGGTCAAACAAATCTAGAGGCCCATCTGACAAGAGGAAAATGTCCCCTGGGCAGGAAAAAGCAGCTTTGTGGCCAAAAAAGCAAAAAAACAAGGGACAGGCAGTGCAAGGAGAGGAGCTCTTGGCACTGCCTGTGTTTTCACGCTCGTGCAGAGGAGACCTTTTACTGGAGCAAGCTCTGTCCTTCCCTCATAGACACAGGAGCTGCAAGGAGGGTCTGGGGAGCAGAGATCTGTCCTTGTCATTCAGCCTGAGACAGAACAGGGAAAGGAAGATCAGGGCTGGCTGATTGCTGTGAGCCCAGCACAGACTTTGAACCTGAGGCTTATCTGAGTTTTTTCAGCTTAGTGGAGAGAGCTGGGCCAGGACAGGCAGCACAGGAGTTATTTTAACATTATAAGCAGGTTCTCTCCCCTAGCAGCATAACATCAGGGATGGCATTTTGCTGCCTTCACTCCCTTGCCTGGTGTTCAGTGGTTTCCAGGCTCCTAAGGATGTTAGTTGGATATTGCACAACTGCAGGTTTGAGGATTTATGATGGTCCTGGGAATGCTGGCTGCAGGTAATGGATGCCAAGGTGATGCTGGAAGCTGCTTAATGAAGAAATGTCTTGGTTTGGATGCTGAGTTTGGCTGGGGAGGTTTGGGAACTCGAGGCAGTTGGTCCCTGCTGAGCCCTGCTATATGAGAAGTCCATCTGTCTGCTAAATCCATCTCTCTCCAGAGGGAGGGATGTTGTCAGGTTTAATAACAGCAGCTGGTAATTCCTGCTGCCTGTGAGGTGTTCCTGGGAAGGGCTGCAGGAAACGAGAGCGCTGAGATCCGAGGGCAACATCCTGTCCCTGTGTTGTTACCCCATGCAAGAGCCTGATGTAAGAGGAGGGCAGCTTGCTGCAACACCCAGCCACACGTCAGCCCAAAGTCCAGGACTCCTCCAGCCTGGAACACCAAGAAATCCCAGTCAGGATTGCCCTGCTCTGCCTGAAAGCTGCACTGAACTCCCTGCAGCCACTGCTGCCCCAGCCCTGACAGGCAGCAGGAGTCAAATGTGGGGCTGGGGCTCTTCTCTGTCACCTCCTGGGCAGCCTCTCGAGTCATTTTGGGTATTTTGCAACTCCTGAAACACAGGAAGAGAGATGAGTGTTGGGGGAATGAGTGGGGAAGGAAGTCCCCAGGCCATTATAAACCCATGTTTTATAAACCCATCCCTGCTGAGATGTCACGCACAGAGGTTTGCTGGGCAGTGCTGGCTGTTGTCACCTCCAGCAGCAGCTGAATTTCACACAGCAGGCAGGGGAGCCACAGATGGGGTGGCAGAGGTGGCTGGAACCCACAGCCCTGCCCTGCTCTGTGGCTGTCACACATCCTGGCCGTGCCTCGTGTGTTTGGGACATTTCCTCTGTCACAAGAGAGCCCAGGGCAGCGAGGGACAGTGACTTGTTTGTTCTGGGGGAAAGGGAACGCTGTCAGCTCAGTGCTGTCCTCCAGCAGAGGGAACTCACGATCCCATTGCCTGCATGAGGGATCCTGGAATCTTTTGGGAAGCGGGGTCCTGTTCCGTGGGCCCTGAGCAGTGAATCCTGGAGGAGTGCTAAGAGCTGGCTCAGGATTTGTACAATTTTCAGCGTTGCTGCTTCCCTCTTGTGGTGTACCACCGGGGTGGTACAGCCAGAGTGCCCCTGGGCTGTGGGAAATGGATCTCAGACCAACAACCAGTGGGACAAAACCTGGGAAAAGCATGGAACTTGGTTCCAGCATTTGGGCTGTGCACCTGAAAGCAGCTCTCTGTGGGCTGATTTCATTTTGCTTGCTTCCCTCTAAAGGGAGGGAAGTGTCTGGGGTGAATTCATTGCTTGTTAAGTCCTCTTCACCTCCACCTTTTTCAGAGCACCTGAAGAAGTGCAGAAGGAAGCAGAAGGCTCTCTGTGAGCTCCCAGCTCCAGGTAACCACCATGGATTCCTGCAGGATACCTGCAAACGCCTCCAAGTGCAGTGGGAACACCATGGAGTGCTTCATGGTGCTCAGCACGCAGGCACAGAAGATAAGCATTGGCATCCTGTGTGGCCTCTTTGGGACAATGTGTGTTTTTGAGAACTCCCTGGTGCTCTACCTGATTTTCTCATCCCCTGGGATCAGGAAGAAGCCTTCCTACCTCTTCATCGGCAGCCTGGCCCTGGCTGACATCCTGGCCAGCATCATCTTTGTCTGCAGCTTCGTGAACTTCCACGTGTTCAACGAGGTTGGTTTCTCCAAGGAGGTGTTCCTGCTGCAGCTGGGAGGGGTGAACACGTCCTTCTCTGCCTCCCTCAGCAGCCTCCTGCTCACAGCCCTGGACCGCTACATCTCCATCAGCCGGCCCTCGGAGTACAAGCTCCTGATGACCAGGAAAAGAGCCTGGACAGCCCTGGCAGTGCTCTGGGTGACCTGTGCCACCATTGCTTGCCTGCCCCTGCTGGGCTGGAACTGCTGCGTGCTGGATTCCTCCTGCTCCGAGCTGTTCCCCTTTGTGGATGACAATTACCTGTCGGGCTGGCTCTGCTTCGTCGTGGTCCTGCTGGGCTGCATCGTCTACGCCTACGCCCACGTGCTCTGGAGGGCTCGCCAGCACGTGGCCTACATGGAGAAGCACCAGGCACAGGCAGGGAAGCAAAACACCCGGATGAGGATGGACGTGATGCTGGCCAAGACCCTGGTCATGGTGCTGGCTGTCCTGATGCTCTGCTGGTCCCCCGTGCTCGTGCTGATGATCTACAGCGTCTTCGGCAGGCTGAGCGACCGCCTGCGCAAGGTGTTCGCCTTCTGCAGCACCCTCTGCCTGCTCAACTCCATGGTCAACCCCATCATTTACGCCCTGCGGAGCAAGGAGCTCTTCTCCTCCCTGAGGAGGGCGTTCTCCCACTTCAGGAGGCAGCTGAAGGCCCCTGAGGAGAGCCCAGAAGCAGAGAGCACCCACAAGTCCTCCGTGATAGAGACCGTCTGCAAGGACACCCATGCCATGTAGGGAGGCACCTGTGGGAGATCCACCCACTCAGCCTGGAAGGAACAGTCTGGAACACTTTTCTTTGTATTTTCTCTTCTGATGGGAGTTGAGGGATCAGCTGTGATGTGGAGACAGCTCCTGCTGATGTCACCCTTCAGTGCTGGGACATGAAGTGCACAGACTTTGCTCTCAGGCACAGGCTGGGATTGTTGGGATGTCCTGTGCAGGTCCAGGACTGGATGATCCTTGGGGTGTCCCTTCCAGCTTAGGATATTCCATGATTCTGTGATCATCTCCCATCAGGGGAGGTTCAGGTTGGACATCAGCAGGAATTTCTTCATGGAAAAGGTGGTCAGGCTTGGAAAGGGCTGCCCAGGGAGGTTTGGAGTCCCCATCCGTGGCACTCAGTGCTCTGGGCTGGTGACAAAGTGAGGACTGGGCACAGCTGGGACTCGATGTTCTGGAAGGGCTTTTCCAACCTCTCACTGGGGCTTCAGGATTTGGCCAGAGCTGGGGCAGACAGGACCTTGCAGGCAGCACATTTCTTCAGGCAGGTTTCAGGAGAACTGACCGAACCACACGGGTGTTTGTGGGATGTTATGTGATTAAACATACAAACCATTTTCCAGGGCTTTCTTCCTCTTCTTTCCTGGTGTACAAAGTTCTCCAGGTGACAAGTTTAAGCCCAAACTGGGGCAGATACTTTGAGCATGAGGAACTTGATTGAGGTTGTTTTTCTGCAAATTACGCAAAAGCAGCACTTTTAGCTGAATGGACAATGAAGTGGGACAGGGCCCTTCACCAGTGACCTGGAGCAGCTGGGCTCCTGCCAGCTCCCAAAATGCCTCCAACAGGGATGAGCCTGGCTGGGGCATGGCCACGAGGCCCTTGCACTCTGCCCTGTGTCCCAGAGGATGAACTGCCCAGGCTCCCCAGGGAATGGGCACAGCCCCGAGGCTGGAGAGCTCCAGGAGGGTTTGGACACCACTCCAGGGATGCACAGGGTGGATGGTTTGGGTTGTCCCCAATGTCCCTCCATCCCTCCCCGGGATATTCCCCGATGTCTGGGGCTATCTCCGATGTCCCTCCATCCCTCCCCGGGATATTCCCCGATGGTTGATGCTATCCCCGATGTCCCTCCATCCCTCCCCGGGATATTCCCCGATGTCTGGCGTTATTCCCGATGTCCCTCCCTCCCTCCCCGGGATATTCCCCGCCGTGCCCGCGGGCAGCGGTCGGGCCGCAGTCTCGAACCCGCGGCCCCCGCGGAGCAGCGGCGTGGGTGACGTCACGGCGCCATGGCGGCGCTGGCCCTGCTCGCTGTGGCGGCCGCGCTGGGCCCGGGCCTGGCCGAGCCCCGGTACCGCCCGGACTGGGCCAGCCTGGACGCGCGGCCGCTGCCGGCCTGGTTCGACCGGGCCAAGGTGGGGGTGTTCGTGCACTGGGGGGTGTTCTCCGTGCCGGCCTGGGGCTCCGAGTGGTTCTGGTGGCACTGGCAGGGCCAGCACGATGCCGCCTACGAGCGCTTCGTGCGCCGCCGCTTCCCGCCCGGCACCACCTACGCGGAGTTCGCGCCCCGTTTCACCGCCCACGACTTCCAGCCCCGGCAGTGGGCACGGCTCTTCCAGCGGGCCGGGGCCAGGTCAGCGCCGGGAGGGCCGGAGTTGGGGTCCCTGAGGGGATGGGGGTCCCTGAGGGGATGAGTGCCATGGCCGGGGATCCCTGAGGGGATGGGAGTCCCTGAGGGGATGGGGGGGTCCCTCAGGGGATGAGTGCCATGGCCAGGGGTCCCTGAGGGGATGGGGGTCCCTGAGGGGATGAGTGCCATGGCCGGGGATCCCTGAGGGGATGGGAGTCCCTGAGGGGATGGGGGGGTCCCTCAGGGGATGAGTGCCATTGGGCACGGCTCTTCCAGCGGGCCGGGGCCAGGTCAGCGCCGGGAGGGCCGGAGCTGGGGTCCCTGAGGGGATAGGGGTCCCCTGAGGGGATGGGGGGGTCCCTCAGGGGATGAGTGCCATGGCCAGGGGTCCCTGAGGGGATGAGTGCCATGGCCGGGGATCCCTGAGGGGATGGGAGTCCCTGAGGGGATGGGGGGGTCCCTCAGGGGATGAGTGCCATGGCCAGGGGTCCCTGAGGGGATGGGGGTCCCTGAGGGGATGAGTGCCATGGCCGGGGGTCCCTGAGGGGATGGGGATCCCTGAAGGGATGGGGGTCCCTGAGGGGATGTGTGCCATGGCCCTGAGGGGATGGGGGTCCCTAAGGGGATGAGTGCCATGGCCGGGGGTCCATGAGGGGATGGGGGTCCCTGAGGGGATGCCATGGTTGGGGGTCCCTGAGGGGATGAATGGTGGGTCTGGGAGTCCCTGAGGGAATGGAGGAGCCATTTCTGGGAATCTGTGTGGTAGTGAGAGCCCCTGGTCACTGAGCACATAGAGCATCCCAGAGGGAACAAGAGGGGGTCTGGGGGTCCCTGAGGGGATGGAAAAGCTTGGGAAGCGTATGGGGCTGTTCCCAAAAGGGTGCAGGGGTCTCTGAGGGGATGGGAGGGGCAAATCTGGGGATCCCTGAGGGATTGGGGGTCCCTGAACAGTGCTGGGCATCCCTGAGGGGTCATGCCCAGGATGCTGAGGAGATTGCAGGTCTGGCTTCTTGCTAAGTACTTACTGTTCATTCTTTCCCAGCATTAAAATCCACTAAAAGCCTCTCTTATTCTGGTATTTGCTTTTAAATCCAAGGGAGAGTGACAGAGGGCTCCTCACAGGGTGGTTGTCCAGTGCCTTGCTGTTTTAGTGACTGACTTTGCAGTGGGGCTGGGAAATATCTCATTTGTTCCTTTGCCATCCCAACCAAGTCCTTTTCTCCTCTCAGATACGTGGTCCTGACCACCAAGCACCACGAGGGCTTCACCAACTGGGGGTCACCAGTGTCCTGGAACTGGAATTCTGTGGATACAGGGCCCCACCGGGACCTGGTGGGAGAGCTGGGAGAAGCCCTCAGGGAGAGGTACAGCCCTGCCAGGGAGCTCTGCTCTGAGAGCAGTGAATCCTCCTGGCTCTGCTTGACAAACAGCAGAAAACCCCGAGTTCAGTGTGAGAAATGGACTGCTTGCAAATGATGAAAAATAATAAAGCCAGTAATTTAATTTCCACTGCTTCTTAATCCCCACTGAAGCCTAATTCTTCCCTCTGTGTTTTGTCCTTCAGCAACCTCCGTTATGGGCTGTATCACTCCCTGATGGAGTGGTTTAACCCTCTCTACCTTGCTGACAAACAAAAGGACTTCAAGACCCAGAGCTTTGTTTTAAAGAAGACCATGCCAGAACTTTATGACCTTGTCTTAAAGTAAGAGCCACAACCAGTTCAGAATCACCAGCATTTCCTGGTTTCAGTTCTGTAGAGAAATGTGCAAAGTGGGTGCAAAGAAGAGAAATGTTGATTTTTGCTGAGGCAAATTCTCTTTTCTAAGCAGTAAGGATTTGTGGTAATTAGAAAATAGTTCTGTAGAGAAAGCTGCAAAGTGGGTGTAAAGAAGAGAAATGTTGATTTTTGCCGAGGCAATTCTCTTTTCTAAGCAGTAAGGATTTGTGGTAATTAGAAAAGGAGTTCACTTTTAACCTGTGGAAAGTCTAATCTGTAGAATAACCAGGGACAAATTTTTCCTGCAAAAGCAATTCTCTTCAATCCTGCCTTTGTGCAGGGTGGCTGGATGTGGAACAAACTGTTCAGTATTTAGAAGAATAGAAAAGTGATTTCACTGGGAATTTGCATCCTTGCCTTGCTTCCCCTTGCTGACAAAATTAAAAGGTTTGGGCTTGTGGGTTGTTGTCCCAGCTCAAGAATGTGCCTCATAATCACCTTTGAGGTGCCAGATTCTGAGTTTTTTGAAAAACTGCACCCTCTCTTGAGCTGTGGATCAACACTTTTTTCTTTGCTGTTGCAAGAACCTCCCATAGAGTTTTGTGTGAAACAGAAAATGAAGCAAAAACCTCCTGGTGATGCCAGGCAGTGGGAAGGGGGAGTGAAACGACCCCCTACCCAAGAAACACAGTGTGGCAGGAGCAGATAATCCATTTGGAAACAACATCTATCTCCCTTAGATACAAACCAGACCTGATCTGGTCGGATGGGGACTGGGAAGCTCCAGATTCCTACTGGAATTCCACCTCTTTCCTTGCCTGGCTCTACAACGACAGCCCCGTCAAGGTACCACTGCCTGCTGCCCCTCCTGGCATTGGGTGGGTGTGGAAGGGCAGGGAGCCCTGGGATGTGTGATCAAACAGAAACTTCCTTGACTTTTGGCAAATGTATTTTATTCCCTGACAAAAAGAGCACCTTGACCGTGCTGCTGTGCCAGCTCCACTGACCTTTGCAGGATACTCAGCTTTGTTGCCTCAGCTCCCACCTGAGTGAGCAGAGGGAGGGATTCAGCCTTCTCAGGAGGGTTTCCATTACACTGGGATTCTTTAGGTGCTTCCTCAGGGGGGTGGCTGCCAGCTGGACAGCCCAGGAACAAAAGGATCTGTGCCCTGAGCTGTTTTTCCTCTCTCAGGACACCGTGGTTGTCAACGATCGCTGGGGTCGGGGCTGCTCCTGCCGCCACGGGGGTTTCTACAACTGTGCTGACAAGTACAGGCCAGGCACCCTGCCAGAGCACAAGTGGGAGATGTGCTCCTCCCTGGACAGGCTCTCCTGGGGCTACCGCAGCAACATGAGCCTGGCTGAGGTGATGGATGAAATGAGTATGATTGAGGTGAGAAACCTGAAATGGAAATAGCCTGACGAGGGTTGCTGGGAGTGAGAGGCTTCTGGAGCAGCTGATGAGGGTAAAACTCCTCAGTTTCTGTGTTCTCTGAGGTGAAGATAATGTTATCTTGCTTTATCTGCTGCAGGAGATGGTGCAGACTGTGAGTCTGGGTGGCAACTACCTCCTCAACGTGGGACCTACAAAAGAAGGGGTGATTGTGCCCATCTTCCAAGAAAGACTCCTGGCCCTTGGGAGGTGGCTGGACACCAATGGGGAGGCGATTTATGAATCCCAGCCTTGGAGGGTGCAGATGGAGAACACCACAGACACAGTCTGGTAAGGGCTCTGCTCCTCAGACAGCTGATGTTTATTTCTTACCTCCTCCTAAATTTGGAGTTTGGGGAAGTAGGTGACCCCTGTGTGATGACAGAGGGCAAAGCAGTGTTCTTGTGCTGTCTGGAAAGGTCAGGTTTGTGTCTGGTGCCCTTCACCTGCTGAACTCCTGCTCTCTCAGGTACACCTCCAAGGGACCAGTGGTCTTTGCCATCTTCCTGCTCTGGCCTCTGGACAGTGTCCTGCATCTCTCCTCGCCCATTCCATCCCCAGGCACACAGGTGAGGGGCTTAACACTCACTGAGAGCATTTGGGGGCATTTGTGGGCTGGGAAGGGCCAGCCTGGATTTGTTTGGGAGCTGGGGCAGTGGGCTCCTTGCAGCACCCCAGGCTTTGGCTCACGTGGAACGTGGCACAGGAGCTGCCAGGGAGGATTCCTGTCCTGGAATGTTTTGGTGCTGCTGTTGCAGGGGAGGGAAGCAGATCCCCCAGAGCAGGAGTGGCTGTCCTGCAGCCCAGGTGCAGTGCCCTGCTCGTGGCAGATGTCACCGTGACGCAAATGTTGCGGTGTCCTTTGCTCTGAACAAACAGGGGCAAAGCATCAGCAACAAACAAACCCCAAACAACAAACTGCAGCCTGGTGTGGCCTCCAAACACCCCTGTGTCACCCCCTGTGCCACGTGAGCCACGGCTGGGGACCTGCGGGGGCTGTGGGCTGTGCACAGGGGGCCTGCTGAGCTCCAGCTGAGTGTCCCCTTCCTTCCTCTGCAGGTGACACTGCTGGGGTTTGGTGGCACTCTGGAGTGGCAGAACCAGCCAGGGAAAGGGATGCTCATAACCCTGCCCTACATGCTGCCATCTCCTCTCCCCCCTCAGTCTGGCTGGGTGGTGAAGCTCGAGGGTGTGAAGTGATGCCTGTGGGGGGACACAGCATCTCCCACTGCCTTTCTTTTTGATTGAACCCAAGAGGAATTTTATGTTTCATGTTGAATACATTATTTTTCACTTGAGAGAATCTCTCCTCCAGTCTCTGTTGCCCAATTGTGTTACTTCAGTGTTGGTTGGAACAGTTGTGATCAGCTGCTTCCATGATGAATAAATCCAATGGAAGCTTGCTGGAAGAGATCTGGAAGAAATCATCTGTTAAAAAATGATGCAAATCCACGAACAAACTTTTATTGATATTCTGCTAGAGACAGCTACAACAAAAGGTTTTGTTCTCAGTGAATTTAAGAAACTCCACCGTTGTGAACTGCACTTGTGACTTCTGCTGGCACCCCTGAACTTGTGAACTTGGAGTCCCGGTGAGAGCAGTTTGAACGTCTCAGAAAGGGTCGAGCAAGGTTTGAACGTCTCAGAAAGGGCCGAGCAAGGTGTGAACGCCTCAGAAAGGGCCGAGCAAGGTGTGAACGCCTCAGAAAGGGCCGAGCAAGGTTTGAACGTCTCAGAAAGGGCCGAGCAGCGTGAGTGTGGCCGATGAGGCTGCTCCAGACAGCGCAGGTTGTTGTGAAGGCACCACAGCGCTGCAGGCAGGCTGTGTTTTGTTCCTGCCCCAGCCGGGACACCGGGAGCCGAGCTCCAGCAGAGCCCCGGGGCAGGGCCACGTGCGGAGCCGCTGCCGTGGCGCTCGAGTGACAAACATGCACCGGCCCCGGCTCCGGAGAACCGGCCGCTCCGCTGGTGACGCCGTTACAGACAAAAAAATGGGACAAACGGGGACAACAGAGCGATGGCCTCTTTGCCTCACAACCCCATCCCGCCGGTGACCCCTGGCGCGGAGCGGGGCCCGCCCCAAAACAAACAGCCCCGTGTTTGCTCGGCGCACCGGGCAGCGCCGAAGCCGCCGCTATAAGTGCGCGGCGGGCACGCCGCGGGGCAGTGCCGGAGGGAAAGATGCCGCTCTGCGACACGGGCTGCGCGCCGCGGGACGGCGCCTGGGGCCAGGTACGGCACGGCTGCGGCCGGCGACAAGGGACACCGGGCACGGAGCGACACCGGGGACCGAGCGACACCGGGGACGGAGCGGCCGCGGCCACAGCGGTGCCGGCGCCACGTGCGGAGCGCTCACGTGGCCAGCGGAGCCACGCCCCCCCTCCCGGCGGAGTCACGTGCCGGGGGGTGTGTGCGGTCACGTGAGCGTGGCGGACATGGCGGCGGCGCGGCGGCTGCTGCCGCGCTGGGCGGGATCGCTGCGGCCCGTGAGGGAGCGGGGGATCGGAACCGGGACCGGGACAGGGAGCGGGGGGATCGGAAATGGGGATAGAGGGACGGAGGGGATTGGAATTGGGGACACAGGGACCGGGGGGATCGGGACCGGGACAGAGGGACCGGAGGGATCAGAACTGGGCTCAGGGACCGGGGGGATCGGGACCGGGACAGAGGGACCGGAGGGATCAGAACTGGGCACAGGGACCGGGGGGATCGGAACCGGGACAGAGGGACCGGGGGGAATCAGAATTGGGCAGAGGGACCGGGGGGATCGGAACCGGGGCACAGGGACCTGGGGGATCGGAACTGGGGACAGAGCGACCGGGGCACAGGGAACGGGATAGAGGGACCGGGAGGATCGGGACCGGGGACAGAGGGACCGGGGCACAGGGACTGGGGGGCACCGGGACAGAGCCAAGCGGGGCCAGGGTGGGGGGATCGGTACCGGAGGCAGAGGGACCGGGGGGCACCGGGACGGAGCCAAGCGGGGCCAGGGTGCGGGTACCGGGCCCGGGCCAAGCGGGGCTGTGGCTGCGGCACAGCGGGCCGGGCTCCGCGGGCTCGGCTGACTCTGCTCCCCGTGCCAGGTGAGCTCCGCTGCGGCGGCGGGCGCGGCGTACCCGAAGCGAGTGAAGGTGGTGGAGGTGGGGCCGCGCGACGGGCTCCAGAACGAGAAGGTAGCGGCGGGTCCGGGCTCCCCGCCCCTCCCGGGGCCGTTCTCAGCCAAATCCCCCCAGCGCCCCCCTGTGCCCCCCAGCATTTTCTTTAAATGCTGCCTTTTTTTTTTTTTTTCAGTGGTGGAAGAGTTTATTGTGTAAATAATAATGACTTTAAGTCGTTTTTCTTTTCTTCTGCTTCTTCTTAGAATCTTGTGCCCACCTCAGTGAAGATCAATTTAATCAACATGCTGTCAGAGACAGGGCTGCAGGTCATAGAGGCCACCAGCTTCGTGTCCCCCAAGTGGGTTCCTCAGGTCAGTGTTCAGACAGGATTTGCAGTGGTGTGCTCTAAAAGTACAATGATCCAGTGCTTCTACTTGCTCCCAAATCCCTGTTGCTGGGCAAGAAGCAGCAGAGCAGTTAAAATATGCCAGAGCTTCCCTTTGGACCCTGGCAAGAGCAGAGGGACAGACAGGTCACACACAAAGCTGTTTGTGCACATTGGCCTGGCTGGGTGCCCCCTGAGCCCTCAGCTCTGTTTGCTTTGAGATGCTCTGATCCCCACACATTTCTGTTCCCTTTACAAAAAGGAGTTTCAGTGATGATTTTGTGACAGGCAGCTGTGACCCTCAGAGATGTTTCTTTGCTTTGCAGATGGCTGATCACACCGAGGTCCTGCAGGGCATCAACAAATCCCCTGGGATCAGTTACCCTGTGCTGACTCCAAACCTCAGGGGCTTCCAGGCAGCGGTAAGGGCTGGGGAAAGCCAGCATCCCCCCACACTGGGCCTTTGCAGCCCCTCCTGCTCCTTTGCTCCTCTGCCTTCACCCTTTTCAAGGCAAGCTCACATGTGTCCTGCTGGTTTTGCTGCACAGTGAGCTGAGGGAATGGTTGGGTTCTTTGGGGGGAAATGGTTTTATCAAATGAGAGAGGTGTGGTCAGAGATTGTAGATCACAGAGACTTTGAGGTGCAGAAGAGCTCCAAGGTCTTTCAGTCTGAATAAACAGGGCAGATTTATTTGGGAACTGAGAGCCTCTGTAAAGGGAGGTGTTTATGGGGCTGGTTTGAGACACCTTGAATTAACTCTTGGCCATGAAATCATGAAGTTGTGGCTCTGTTTGGCATTTCCCTCACAAGAGAAAATCCCCTGGCTTTGATTTAAGAAGTGCTGGGGTAACTCAGGGCTCTTCTCCAGCCTCAGTGGTGCTGTGGTTCCAGTTCAGGATTTTTTATTTGCAGGTGGCAGCAGGAGCCAAAGAGGTGTCGATCTTTGGGGCAGCATCTGAGCTGTTCACCCAGAAAAACATCAACTGCTCCATCGAGGAGAGCCTGGAGAGGTTTGAAGAGGTCATGAGGGCAGCGAGGGAAGCCAGCATTCCTGTCAGGGGGTAAGGCCTTCCTGCTGGAATTCACCCACATTCGTTCTGGAATCGTCCAGAATCAGTTGGGATCGGATTTTCTTGGCAAACATCCCACATGGATCACACAGATCACACCCCCAGCAGCCCTCTGGGCTCATCTTGGCAAACTTTACACCCATGGAAGAAGAGATTGGTGAAATCCTGTAACCTTTTGCCACTGGAATATAAAATTGATTCTCCCACCTTGCAGACATGGAAGATGCACAAGTCCTGGCTGGTTTGTCCAGTGGAATCCCACTGTCCTTTTCCAGCTAAAAGTTTGGGGTTTTTTTTTTAACCACAGGTATGTTTCCTGTGTCCTTGGATGTCCCTATGAAGGGAAGATTTCTGCAGCTAAAGTTGCCCCTTTTTTTAAAAGTTTGGGTTTTTTTTTTTTTTAACCACAGGTATGTTTCCTGTGTCCTTGGATGTCCCTATGAAGGGAAGATTTCTGCAGCTAAAGTTGCAGAGGTGAGTCAGTCAGAAATACAGCCAGAATTCCTGATTTATTTTGAGGGATGCAAAGTGGGCACTGGGGGTTAATCCAGGATATAAGGGGGATTTATGAGGGAATATCCAGGTTCTCAGAGCCTGAATCCAGCTGAAACGGGGAACTGAGGGAGGTTTGGACACCTGTGGGTGTTTAATTGTGGAGAGGAGTGTTCAGGGTGTTAGTAGTTCCCCAAGAGGGAATTACTGTACAGCAGGAATCAGCTCTGGGAGGGAAGGAGGAGTGTCCAGGGGATTGTGGTGCAGCTCTGGGAGGGAAGGAGTGTCCAGGGAATTACTGTACTGCAGGGGTCAGCCCTGGGAGGGGAGGAATGTCCAGGGGATCGTGGTGCAGCTCTGGGAGGGAAGGAGGGTCCAGGGGATTGTGGTGCAGCAGGAATCAGCCCTGGGAGGGAAGGAATGTCCAGGGGATCGTGGTGCAGCTCTGGGAGGGAAGGAGGAATGCCCAGGGGATTGTACAGCAGGACTCAGCCCTGGGAGAGGAGGAGCAGTGTCCAGGGGATCGTGGTGCAGCAGGGATCAGCCCTGGGAGGGAGGATGCCCTCTCAGTGCCCGTGCTGGCTGTGCCCAGGTCTCCAAGAAGATGTACTCCATGGGGTGCTACGAGATCTCGCTGGGGGACACCATCGGCGTGGGCACCCCGGGCAGCATGAGGGACATGCTGGCAGTGGTCATGAAGGAGGTGCCCGTGGGGGCTCTGGCTGTGCACTGCCACGACACCTACGGACAGGCCCTGGCCAACATCCTGGTGGCCCTGCAGGTGGGGTCCCTGCTCTGCACGCTGCTCCTGGCACTCACACACACCCTAAAGCCCACCTTGTCCCACCCCCTGGCCAGCTGCCAGGCTGCTCCCAGCCCCGTCCAGCCTGGGGCACACAAACGGAGCAGCTTTCCTCGGGGCTTGCTTGGGAATTGCAGATTTTGCGTTCCCAGGGCAGCCCCTGACTCGGGTCTGTTTGCAGATGGGGGTGAGCGTGGTGGACGCCTCCGTGGCTGGCCTTGGGGGGTGTCCCTATGCCCAGGGAGCCTCTGGGAACGTGGCCACGGAGGACTTGGTGTACATGCTCAACGGGCTGGGCATCCACACGGTGAGTGGCACCCAGGCTCTGGCCAGGCCTCAGCTCAGGAGCATGAGCGTGGTGGGGACAGGACAGGGGGAATGGCTGCCCTGTGAGAGGGGATATCAGGGAAAAACATTCCCTGGGAGGGTGGGCAGGCCCTGGCACGGGTGCCCAGAGGGGCTGTGGCTCTCCCTGGAGTGCCCAAGGCCAGGGTGGATGGGTGTGGGGCACCTGGGATGGTGGGAGATGTTCCTCAAGGCATGTCCTGGAATGGTGGGAGATGTTCCTCAAGGCATGTCCTGGGATGGTGGGAGATGTTCCTCAAGGCATGCCCTGGAATGGTGGGAGGTGTTCCTCAAGGCATGTCCTGGGATGGTGGGAGATGTTCCTCAAGGCATGTCCTGGGCCTTTGCCGTGCAGGGCGTGGATCTCCAGAAGCTGATGGACACAGGCACCTTCATCTGCAATGCCCTGAACAGAAAAACCAATTCCAAGGTGTCTCAGGCCTCCTGCAGGCTGTGACACTGAGTGGGATTTCTCCTTGGAGCAAGAAATCGAGGATCCAGCCCTGGCTGGGATTCCTGTCTGACCTCCTGAGCTCAGCATTTGAGAAGAAACTCAAAATCCACCAGAATCAGGAAGAAGTGAGAGAATATCCTGTAATACTTTGTTCTGTTGGACCTTGGGGATGCCTTGGAGGGGGGAGGGCAGGGAGGGGCAGGGGAGAGCTCAGAGCAGAGCAGCAGCTCCTGTGCAGAGCCCAGGGCGGGCACAGCTTTGGCAGCTGGAGCCTGCCTGCAGCTCTGCTGTCCCTTCCTCCCTCTCCCTTCCACAAAGGCTGAGCCCAAACCCCCCTGGTGCCCCCCTGGGATCCCTCAGGGCCGTGCTGCTGCACTGGGTATCTGTTGTAAGATACCTCAGCAGGCCAGGAGTAATAAACACTTTATTTAATAATCTGAACTGTGAAGAGTTTGATTCAGCTGAACCCAACAAAGGAGCTTTTGGTGCTGGTTTGGTTCCAAGTGCCTCTTGTGCGTGGAAATTCTGCATTATTGTGGGCTGGGGGTGAGGAGTTCCACCCTGAGGGCAGAGAGTGAAACTCCTCAGGTGCTCGGGTCCTTGGGAAGCGCCCCCAGCTCTTTTTAAAGTGATTTATTGAGCAGTTCAGCTGTGAGACTGGAGAGGAGCGCAGGAGGCTGCGTGTGCCTGCTCTCCACATGACTTCAATACCCTGTAACAATTACCAAATTACTAATGAACGCCACGGAAATGAGGCGGAATGGGGCAGTAAATTGGGGTTTTGGGGCGATAATTCGGGATTTTGGGGCGGTAATTTGGGGGTTTTGGGGCAACGGCCTCCTCCCGCCGCCAGGGGGCGCTGCGGCACCGGGCTCCCCGCGGTGGCCCCGCCCCCTCCCGCGCGCACCAATGGCCGCCGTCCCCCGCGGAGTTTTGTCCCCGCTGCCGCCCCGTAGCCCTGACACGTTTCCATGGAGGAGCGGCGCGCGTGGCGCCGGGGGGGGCGGAGCCAAGGCCCGGCCTTAAAAGGGCCGCGCCCCTCACGGCGCTGAGCGGGAGCGGCGGCGGCAGCGGCGGGTGAGAGACCGGGGAACCGGAGGGGAACCGGAGGGGAGCCGCGGCTGGACGGGCAGGGGGACGGCTGTGCTGCCCTGCCCTGCTTCCTTCGGCACGGCCAGCCCGACCCGCCGCGGCTGGCGGTACCCGGGGCTCTGGAGTCATTCCGGTGCCCGGTTGCGTTCCGCCGCTCGGCCCCGGGACCCCTCCGCTCGCTCCCGGGCCTGTCCCCGCTCCCCGGCTGGAACCCGCGCTGGTTCTGCCTCCCCGCCCTCTCCCCCCGGGCCCAGGCGCTGTTTCCCGCAGCCCCGGGAGGGCAGTGTCCCGGTGCGGCTCCTCCCGGGCCGGGGTCCGGTTCCTGCCCCAAGCCCTTCCTGCGGCGGGGCCGGCCCGGGAGGGAACGGCTGCAGGGCAGAGCTGGTGCCCTGCGGAGACCACCCCGATTAATTAATTAATGAATTAGCTAATTAACAGTGAGAACTGCTGCCCTGAGGGGCACAGGTGAGCCCAGGGCTGGGTTCACCAGGAAGAGCCCGGGCTCCGGGATGTGCCGCCTCCGTGTCCGGGAGGTGTGACCGGCCCTGCCCCGCCCGTCCCTCGGGCAGGACCGACCTGCCGGCCGCGCTGCCGTGCCCAACCGAGCCGTGCCAAACCGAGCCGTGCCCAACCGTGCCGAGCCGTGCCGGGTCGTGCCGTGCCCAACCGAGCCGTGCCGAGCCGAGCCGTGCCCAACCGAGCCGTGCCCAACCGAGCCGTGCCGGGCCGTGCCGTGCCCAGCCCGCGGCTCTGGCGCTGTCCCCGCAGGGAGCCATGGCAGAGACCATCCTGGTGACGGGCGGCGCTGGCTACATCGGCAGCCACTGCGTGCTGGAGCTGCTGCAGGCGGGCTACGTCCCCGTGGTCATCGACAACTTCCACAACGCCATCCGAGGTACGGGAGCCCCGGCCCGGCTCCATCCCCGCGCTGGGCTCGGCTCCGGCGCCCCTCACTCCCCTCCATCCCCAGGCTCCGAGGCGCTCCCCGAGAGCCTCCGGCGGGTGCAGGAGATCGCGCACCGGCCCGTGATCTTCCAGGAGCTCGACATCACGGACGAGGCGGCGCTCCAGGAGCTCTTCAGGAAGGTGAGAGCGGGAGCGGCCGTGCCCGGGGTGGCTCCCGGGGTCCTGGCGGGGGTGGGAGCCTCGGGAGCAAACGCAGTGCCCGCTCCTGTGGGCCGTGGAGCTCCTGGGGCGATCCTGGCCGCTGCCGTGGCTCTGAGCCCAGCCCGTTCCCCCTGCAGCACCGTTTCTCGGCCGTGATGCACTTTGCGGGGCTCAAGGCCGTGGGGGAGTCGGTGCAGAAGCCTCTGGAATATTACAGAGTGAACCTCACCGGGACCATCCGGCTGCTGGAGGTGAGAGGGGCCGGCAGTGATCCCGGGCTGCTCCCTGTGCCCTCCCCGTGCAGGGCTGGCACAGGGCACGGAGCTGCAGCAGCGCTGCCCGTTGCCCCTCGCAGACCATGAAGGCCCACGGCGTGAGGAACATCGTGTTCAGCAGCTCCGCCACCGTCTACGGGGACCCCAAGTACCTCCCCCTGGACGAGAAGCACCCGGTCGGGGGCTGCACCAACCCCTACGGCAAATCCAAGTTCTTCATCGAGGAGATGATCTGGGATCTCTGCAGAGCAGAGAGGGTGAGGAGCTGCCCCGTGGGGCTGCAGCCCAGGTGTGTCCCCACGGGGGTGACACGTCCGTGCGTCCCCAGGACTGGAACGCCGTCCTGCTGCGCTACTTCAACCCCATCGGCGCCCACGAGTCGGGGATGATCGGGGAGGACCCTCAGGGCATCCCCAACAACCTCATGCCCTACGTGGCTCAGGTAGAGCCCCCACAGCCCTTGGGGGTCACAGGGAGGGGACGCAGGCGCTGGGGCTCCACGGGGCTGTCCCTCTGTGCAGGTGGCAGTGGGACGCCGCGAGTTCCTGAGCGTCTTTGGGAACGACTACAAGACGGACGATGGAACGGGTGCGTCACGGGACGGGGGGATTTGGGACGGGGGAATTTGGGATTCCCAGACCCTGCCCTCACCCTCTGCGTCCCCACAGGAGTCAGGGATTACATCCACGTCGTGGACCTGGCCAAGGGCCACATCGCTGCTCTGAAGAAGCTCAAGGAGAACTGTGGCTGCAAGGTACCAGCCTTGGGGTGCTGCCAGCCCTGGGGGGACATGGGGGTGCCAATGGGGCCTGAAGTAGAGCCTTTCTCCCCTTGATCCCTGTCCTTTATTCTGCTCCCAGATCTACAACCTGGGCACAGGCACCGGCTACTCCGTGCTGCAGATGGTCCGGGCCATGGAGAAAGCCTCGGGGAGGGAGGTAAGGGCAGAGCTGCAGGCTCACAGGCACAGGGCAGCACTGCCCCCACAGGGCCCTGCTCCCCCCCAGCAGCCCTGGCCCCGTTCCCTCAGCCCCCCCCGGAGCCCCCCAGCCCTCGGTGCTGCTCTCCCTGCAGATCAAGTACCGGATCACGGCCCGGCGGGAGGGGGACGTGGCCTCCTGCTACGCTGACCCCACGCTGGCCGAGCGGGAGCTGGGCTGGAAAGCTGCCTTTGGCCTGGACAAGATGTGTAAGGGCATCCCCTCCCTGGCACGGCGGGCACTGCCAGCCCCCTGCCCTCCCTCACCTCCCCTCTCCTCTTCCAGGTGAGGACCTGTGGCGGTGGCAGCTGCAGAACCCCACGGGCTTCAGCAAGAACTGAGCTGTGCCGAGGGCTGGCCGGGCCCAAGGCTGCTCTGAGCCAGCTCTGCCTCCTTCCCCGAGGACTGTCACCATCCTGGGAGGGCACTTCCAGCTCCCCCTCCTGCCTCTGGCACGGGGCAGGAAGGCTGGAGCATCCTCAGCCTCTCCCCTCCTCATCCTCATCCCCCAGGTCTTTTCATCTCACAGAGCAGAACCACAAGGAACAGAGAACAGAGCCGGGGCCTGGTTTGGCACCACGGGCATGGAATGCCCCGGGGCTGCAGCCAGCCCGGGCTGGGAGCTCCTGAGCCCTCCCTGTGCCCTGGGCATCCAGCACTGGGACAGCTGAGTCCTGCTGAGCCCAACCTGCAGCAGAGCCCCTGTTCCCCCCTGGCACAGTGGGAGCCCGAGGCACCTCTGCCCCTCCCCTGGCACCAGGAACTCCCACAGGGACCAGTCACATTCCAAGGCTTCCTCCAACCCCCCTTTTCTCTACCCCCAGCATGGTTTTGGGGACCAAATCTCATCTCCCCCTCTCCTGCTGAGCTGGAGAAGCCCCTGCCCAGGGCTGTGCCAGCCTGGCCTGGCTGCCCACAGCCCCCTGGGTGCCTGCTCTGGCCTCCTGTGGCAGCCACTCCCCAGAGCCCGTTGCCAAAGGCTGCCCAGGAGCCAGCTCTGCCCCTGTCCCACACTGCTTCTATTTATTCCTGGCAGCTCCCAGGGCAGGGATGACGCAGCCAGCCCCGTGTGCTGTCGGCTGGATGAATAACTTATGCTCCTAAATTATGAATGGAGCTTTTGATTTGTTTTTAAAATAAACTTTCCTACTTTCTAAGTGGCAGCTTTGTTCTGCTTCCCCTCAGCCAGAGCTGCTGCCCCTAAAAATGGCACCTGGGGCCTCATGGAACCCCATTCCCCCCCAAATCTGTGGTCCTGCCTGGCCAGGGATGACGCCAGCTCAGCTCCGGGATAAGTTGAGGATTTATTTCACCTTGATTCTCTGTGGAACGCACGCACACACACACAAAAAAACCCCAAACATGTACAAGGAAGACAAGAGAAGAAAAACAACAACAAAAAAAAGAAAAAAAAACAAAAGGAAAAAAAAAAAAACAAACAACCAAAAAGAAGAAACCCAAAGCTGTACTGAGGAATGGAGAGAAGCCGTTCTCCCTCCCGGGGTCCCGGCACTGCTCGGGCAGGGAGTGAGCAGGAATGCTCTGCAGAGGGATGGTCCCGGGCCCCCCACCACACACGGTTCCAGTTCACAGTCACACAGGTCAGTCTGTCCATCACCAGCCCTTGGTGCCCCCAGGGAGCTGCCATCCCACCCCTGCCAGCCCCTGGTGTCCCCAGGGAGCTGCCATCCCACCCCAGCCACCCTCTCATGCCCCCCAGCCAGGCGAGGGGGCCGGGGGCACAGCAGCATTAAAACACAGTATAGATGAGCCAGCAGGGCAGAGCCCAGGGCAGGGCAGAGCCCAGGGCAGGGCTGGGCTGCCCCAGTGCCAGCAGCAGCTCTGCTGCTTTCAGACTTCCTAAAAGGAGCAAGAACAAAAAGCCCAAGCCAAGACCCCAGGCAGGGTGGGCCCCACGATGCACTCTCCAGAGGGAGGTTATTGCTTTGCACAGCCCGGGCAGGAAGGGCAGGGCTGGGGCAGAACTGCCGGGGCTGAGCCCCCCCAGAGCCCCCCAGGGCAGCCCTCCCCTCCCTGGCACAGGGCAGAGGCTCCCTGGGGCAGGGCAGGGGGAGCAGGGCCAGCCCTGGGGCCAGGGGAATGTGGGGGTGTTTTAAAAGCCATGATCAGCCCTGGGTGGGGGCTCAGCCCGGGGAGAGAGGGGGTGAGGGCAGAGCTGCTCCACAGCCACTGCCCCGGGCCCTGTGGGAGGGGAGGGTCAGCCAGGAGCCCCCCCAGAGGAGACATTCGGGGCCCCAGCACGATGCCAGCAGTCGGGAGGGGACAAGCCACAGGTGATTGTACATGGTGGGGCAGGAGCCCCCAGTCCTGGGGGCACAGAGGATGGGGCACAGCAGCCCCCGGGGCTCAGATGATGGCTGGGAGCAAAGCTGCTCCTTCCAGCTGCACCAGGAGCCAAACCCGGGGTGCAGGGACCTCCCCCTCCCCAGGCAGCCCAAGGCCAAAGGGAAGGACAAGTAGCAGCAAGAGAAGACATTGAAGATGGGGCCGGTGGCTCCATGAGTGTAAACGAAGCTTTGGGGCTCCGAGGGTGCAGAGCTGAGCTGGGAGGGGGGGAAATGCCTCTGGGATGGAGATTGTAAAAGCAACAAGAGGAGGAGGAGCAGGAGGAAGGAGGTGATTATCTCAGGAGGGCAGAGCTGCCCCAGGCCGATGGCTGAGGGGAGTGTGCGTGTGTGACAGGCGGGGCCGTGCGGGAGGTGCGGGAGCTGCACTGACCCTCCCTGCCGGCCCCGGGCAGCCTTTGGCGGTGCCAGCCCAGGGCAGAGCCTGCCCCGGGGCCTGGGGGCGTCCGCAGGGGAGTCCCGGGTTCCTGAGCTCTGACTGAAAACCCGCGAGTCGCCTGAGCAGAGGCCGAGAGCCGCCACCGAGGGCAGAGCTCCGAGCCCCAGGGGTGCCCCAGCCCCGCCGCAGCCGGGCACGTCCCGCCCCTAATACTGGTACAAAAACCCCAAACCCGAGAGGAAAACCTCACCCGCGCCGTGCCAGCCCCGCGGGGGCCCGAGGGGACGGTGACCTTCCCCCGGGAACCGCTCGGAGCCAGAGCAGGAGAGAAAAGGCCACTCCCAGACTCGCCTTAGGCAGCTCCGATGCGGGAGCGGCGGGAGAGCCGGAGGGGACGCGGTGCGAGGACGCGGGCACGGGTGGGGGTGGCGGGAGGTGCGCTGGGGGGGCCATGGCTTCCGTTCGCAGCGGGCGGGTCACAGGGACAGGCGGTGACCTCGGCACCCTCCCCTGCGACAGTCCCGAGGGGCTCGGCTCAGATCCGGGGCAGCAGCTTCTCGATGAACTCCTTCACCGCCATCATCTCCTGCGGACAGCGCACGGCCCGTCACACCGGGGCTGCCCCGGGGCCGGGCTGTGCCCCGGGAACGGCCCGGGGCTCTGCACCTCCCCCGGGGCCGGGCTGTGCCCCGGGAACGGCCCGGGGCTCTGCACCTCCCCAGGGACTGGGCTGTGCCCCGGGAACGGCCCGGGGCTCTGCACCTCCCCCGGGGCCGGGCTGTGCCCTGGGAACGGGGCTCGAGGCTCTGCACCTCCCCCGGGGCCGGGATGGGGCACAAGGGCTCTGCAGCCTCTCAGAGCAAGTCAGGAACAAACAGACCTCATGTGTTCCCCACCCTGCCTGGGATCAAAAGATCCCAAAGGGAAGGGACCCCACAGGGATCATCCAGCCCTGCCCAGACCCCTCAACAATCCCACCCTGGGCCCCCCTGTCCAAACACTCCTGGAGCTCTGGCAGCCTCGTGGCTGTGCCCATTCTTTGGGAGCCTGGGCACTGCCCAGCACCCTCTGGGGAAGAACCTTTCCCTGAGCTCCATCCCAGCCCTCCCCTGACACAGCTCCAGGCCCTTCCCACGGGCCCATCACTGATCACCACCCAGGGGGTGCCACCCCCTCCCTCCACACCCAGCACTGACCTGAGGACAGGAACCGTGCATCACTCCAGGGTAGGTTTTGAACTGCACCTTGGTGGGGGTGACCACAGACTTGAGCTTCTCGGCAGTGAGGGCCCCGAAGCGCACGGGGATCATGGGATCCATCTCCCCGTGGCACTGCAGGATGGCAATGTCCTTGTTCACGCCGTTGTTCGCCGCCTGCCACGAGGAGGGGACACTCAGTGAGGGGACGCCAGTGGTGCTTTGTGTCCCCAACACAAGCCAGCAGATCCCTCCTCACGAGGGAGAGCTGCAGAGGGAGCATCCCACGCCAGGGGTACCTGTGGGAAGGCCTTGTGCAGCGGGAGCCAGCAGCTGAGCGCCACGATCCCGGCCAGCTGGTGCTGGCAGGTGAGAGCCGTGTACAGCGACAAGGCACCGCCCTGCAGGGGGAACACGCAGTCAGCGTGGATCCACGGGGCATGCAGGGACACCCTGAGGCCCAGCTCACACCCACCCACCCCCCTGTGACAGGTGGAGCAGGAAGTGGGGTCCCTCACCTGTGAGAAGCCCCCCAGGATGATGCGGTTGGGGGGGATCCCGTTCTTCATCTCGTGCTCAATGATTGCTTTAACTGGAAGGAGATGGAGAAATGGGTCAGTGGAAGGGGAAGGGCTGAAAAGCATCGCCCCATGCTTCAGGGTGCACGTCAGGGACAGGGAGGTGCCAGAGAGGCCAGGGGAAAGTTTGCTGGGATCACAGGAGCAGAAACAAGGAGAGGTGGAAGAAGACACCTGCTCCACCAGAGTGAGGGAGAGGCACACAGCAGCTCTCCACCTCCCCTCACAGAGCTCCTTACTGTTTTCTGCAGCTTTCTTGATCCCAGCTTCATCCTCGGGTGCATCTGGAGTCAATCCCATCAGGTCAAACCTGGGGGAAGCAGCAGGGTCAGCCAAGACCTCTCCCAGCACCCTGAGTGTGGGGAGGCAGGAGCTGGGGGTGCTCTGCCCTTCCCTGGCCCCCACAGGGCAGTGGATTTTGTTCCCCCATCCCTCCCACTCCCCACCCAGCCCTGTTCCCCGAAGCACTGACCAGGAGGGCATGACCATCTTCATGTTGAGGGTCACCGGGATCCGGGGCCTGTGGAGGAACATTTTGGGTGGTTGAGCTCAAGTGTGAGGGGAGCAGGAAGACTGACAACACCTCTCCCCTTCCTGCTGAGCCCCCTCCTGCCTGACCAGGGATGCACAGGGAGCTCCAGAGCCTTTGCCTTTCCCTGCAGCCATCAGGGATGAACAGGAAAAGAAGGGAAGGAAAAGAGCCTCTGGTGCTGCTCACTCTGTGGGAGCAGCTCTGCCTGCAGCAGGAGCTGACCACGGCAGCAGAGCCAGCCTGGCTGGGCAGCCCTGCTGGGCTCAGGCCTCCCCCAGCAGCCTTGGCAGCCTCAGGGCCCCCCAAGAAGCCCCCCCAGAAGCCCCCCAGGGCAGCACTTACGCGTGAGGGCAGATGTACTTCACGTAGGGGAGGCGGATGGAGGAGAGAGCGTCGGCCCAGCTGTGCCTGGAGAGGGACAGGAGATGAGGCCAAGGCTTGTCCCAGCCCTTTGCCCAAGGCTGCTGCCCCCCAACCCCTCCCCTGAGCTTATTTACCCACCCCATCAGCCTGAACCCTCCTGAAGCCCCCCCAGCACTGATCCCATCTGAGGGGAGCACACAGAGCCCCCCTCCTGCACAGGGAGGAGGGAATGTCCAGACAGGGAGGAGGGAATCTCCTGGACAGGGAGGAGAGAGTGTCCAGACAGGGAGGAGGGAATCTCCTGGACAGGGAGGAGAGAGTGTCCAGACAGGGAGGAGGGAATCTCCTGCACAGGGAGGAGCCCTTTGTCACCACCATGGGACCTCCGAGGTGGCCTTGCAGAGCAGAGATGCCCTCGTGCAGGCCCAGCCCTGCCAAGGCCTGGAAAAGCCGCAGTGCTTATCAGCAGTGCTTATCAGCAATCCCTGAAGGCAGCACAAAATCCACCCGCGGGGGTGGGGGGCTGCCAGGCTGCTGGGATCATAAATATTCAAGAGCAGACAGCTGCCAGCAGCAATTCCCTGCCATTCCCTACCAGGCTGGTGCAGGAATGGCTGCAGACCCCAGCCCAAAGCCCCACACAAATCCTGGAGATGTCCTGAGGGAAAGCAGCAGCAAAAGGCTGGGATCTGCATCTGGCAAACCACACATCCCAGCCAGAGCCAGCTGCAGGGACACTCACC